AACTTTGTTGTTAACTGCTATTTCCAAATAGTCCATAGTTCGAACGCAGGGGTTTTAGCAGAAATAAAAGTTTCAATTAAAAAATACAGCATTTGAAAGAATGTACTTTTTTTTCGGTGAGGTTTGGAAAATGCTCTCTTACGCACACTTAGAGCTGATGATCTGGCGCTCTGGGCTGTGTGGGACTCCAGCTTCGCTGGTTATTTTCGATCCGAATTGATGTGATCCGACTTAGGGAACCAGTTCTAACATCGGTGGCGAGGCCTGAAGTAGAAGTTTCTCAAGAACCTTTAGTTGGATTTATAAATGATAAAACATATCTCTTTTTTATTACAGATGGCTTGCTAAAAATCCGCTATTTATACCAACACGAAAGGACATTGAAATTGAAGCTCAAAATTGGCTTAGGTACGCGCCGGAAAGACTGGAAAAGAAAAAAATTACTTTACCGGTTTCAGATAGAAGAGCACAGCAAAAATAAGTTTAGTTTGATACCATACGTAAACGTTTTTTGATTGTTTTCAAATATAGGTATACGTTATTAGTTCAGTATTTTGTTTCTTTTAAATTGCTTCCATCCTGAATTTTCCAAATTGTAAACCTGCCTTCAACGTTTTTAGAAAGTTTTTTGTTACTTTATACATATTTGATCCTAGCAATAATTTTACGGTTGACTATTGACGTAAGAACGTTTCACATATCTTCTCTAAACAACCAGGCTATAATCCCAGTGATGTCCGAAATGACCTTTACAGGATCATCCCTTACATAGCCCGAACAGTCTCAAAAGTATATCCCATGGACGTCGCACGTACATATGGGGACGTTCCGGGACGTCCGAGGGACTTAGGCCTATATCCTGTAATGACTTCCGTGGGACGTCTCAGGAACCGAGGTGTATTTGCTGGAAAAGTTTGAGAAAATTACCATTTTTAGGCTAACTCTCGAGCGGCGTTGCCAAAGTGCGTAAAACTTTTTAAGATCATGAAAATTGTTTCCTTGGATACCTAGCATGTAGATTCATTCAATTTGGGTCGGCCTAGATTATTTAGGTATTTGCATGCTATTGACGTTTACTTTTTGTATATTTTTTTGGTTTCAATAAAAAAAGCACTTCAACCTAACACAAACAAACTAACTCAAAATTAACCGAAAGAAAAAAACGCAAAAATACGTGGCAACAGCGCATTGTGTTGAATTTCCGATGGAAACAAATAATCCGCCATCTGACTATCGACGCGCTAGATAACCTCATTCAATTGGTGAGGTTAGAAAAGATGCTCTAAACTTTTGCGAAAAACACAATTGTTATGCATATTTGCAACAATTTTGCATGTTGAGTTAAGAATTGCTCATACTTAAAACAGGTTTTAGCAGTAAATAGCACCGGACAACCTCATTTTTGTCCATAAATAGGTGGTTGTGGAAAAACGAACTTCAAAAGTTTGTGTTTTTTTGGCTTAATTTATGGACCACCAGAGATTGAAAGTACTTAATTTCAAGTGTTCCTCCAGGTAAAAAAAGAAGAAACTAAAAATTCGGACGCCTCAAGCACGATCACCATTTTGTCCTACCTAACTGAAATAAGAATTGCTTAATACGACTTCACCTTTTTGAACAAAATGTTCTTAAAGAAACATTTTTCACCCATAGATTTAAAGAAAATAATTAATCAGTATAATAGGGTCACACTGACTTAATTCACTAAAATAGAGATACTTTTATTACGACCTTTACTATCACTGCACTTACGTGGTTCCAATAATTTTTATTGCACCACCACTGTCGTAAATAAAGTGAATAATAATAATCTTTATGACGAAGCTACGCAAATGACGCAATCATACCTATGACTGGGGTTTTGCCATCGACGGGTACCCATTCAAGATCAAGTTGTGACCACATTCATAAGGAATTCCGCGGTTAAATTTTGAATTCGTCGGTTTAGTTCAGTTTGGGTTCTAACCTTGCAACCTAACGCCGGACATCAGGTACCGCATTATACAAACACCAAACACAATGAGATCGAAGCACGAAATTCCCAACAAAACCGACTACATGAAGGCATACACTTTTAATCTAATTGAAACGGAACGAACGAATTGTGAATTGGAAAACGAGCGAAATGTCGGAAAAATTGATGGGGCGTTTTATAGGAACTTTTCATGGCAAATCATGGGGAAGCAAAGGGAGCGACACTTGAGCCAGACCGATGCAAGTAAGCCATATACATTTTTAAATCTCAATTATACAGTTGTACACCATTTAAAATAAAAATTAATTTCTATATTTATAACTATGAGGTAAATTTCCTTGAATGCATGTAAAATACATGGTAATCTGGTAACGGAATATGTTTGTAGTGTTTAAAAACTCTGCCTACTTCTCTAGATTCAAACTCTGCATTTTAATGCAGTTTGATCATAAATGCGTTTTAAAAATTATARTTGACTACAACACTAAACTAAGTTGGATCACAACTGGAACATGTTGCTTAATACCCTACAAAAATGGCAACATTTTTCATATACATGTAAATATGAATTTATACCATGAACAATTACGATACTCTTTCGACGCAGTTTTACGCAGCAATAGTTTCTTGTGCTAAGTTTCATCGTTGTGTGCRTATAAATATACAGTAAAATAMGTAATTTAAAAAAGCTAAATCACATTCATATCGCACTAATTATCGCCAAATTAAATAATCACTATTTTTACAAACGATCCGCCCACTTTYAAAAGATCGTACTTSTCATGGCTTGAGATCATTCCTGACTGATTAGCTTTAATGATTTTAAATCTCGAATTTATGCCATGTATAAAAATCAGACAGTAAATAATGGTCAACTGACCGATTTGTTTTGTAGGTAGTTAGCATCGTGCGCGCATTGATAGTTTTCCTAAACTCGTAATTTGAATTTATTCGTCTACCAAGTGTGTAAAACAGTTTTTATTATGAGTAAGTAGATAATAAGTAGGAGTATACATTGATGAAAAACCCAAAATTACTGTATTTTACTATTGGATGGTGTGGTGTTATTTGTACAATTTTTGTCGTCTATCGTCTATTTGTCTATTTGAAAAAGAGTTTTAGTTTTATAAACTTTTAAATGAGTCAAGTTTTTCCTCGGTTTTAGATTTWAAAAAATCGTCACTCTGGCGCAAAGTATGGGTTTTTAAACAAAAAATGTACGCTTAGTATAAAGTTGCTGATTTTTTTTAAATTTTAAAAGTTAGTTTTGAAGTAGTCCATTTTCAGTGGATTGGACGTCTGGAAATTGACTAAAAACGAAACATCATTGGGCCATTTTTTGGCAATGAACCAAATTATAAACTTGGTAGGTAACAACGTTTTTCATATGCATCGGAAAATGATAGTTGTTCTATATTCACTCACTATCACTATTTCAACAAAGATAACAGGTCAATCTGTTGAAACTGTAATAGCAAATAAAAATACGACACTTTATAGAACGCTATACTTTTGCCACTTAGAATAATGGTTTAAAACCCAAACACAAAATTTGTCTGTTGATTTGAAAATTGTTGAGATTGTTTGAGATTGTTATAAAAAAACATTTGAAACTCTTATATATTTTTTAATTTTGTATTCTCCACTTTAAACAAAGTTATGTTAATACCAAAGCACGAATTATTAAAATTAACGCTTTGAAAAGCGAAAACAACAATACACAATGTATAATATTTTTCTAAATATCCTACTAACATAACTCATACAAATACAAAGCGAATAACATTACACTTAAAAAATGTATAAGATTTTATTGTTGTGTGAAAATATGCGTAATGACATAGGATAATAAATAAAATGAATTAAACATATATTTAAGTCAAGTATGTGAGTATTCGATAAGTTTTAAGACAAAAAATGTATTTTAGTTCAATATAATTTTAATTGTCAACTTGATTTTAAATGAATTCATATATAATTTAAACAGAACTTTAAAACAAGTAGCTGGTGGTGTTCGTGCCTCGCCAAATAATTACTTTCAATGTTTGTTGATTTTGCGATGATGATGCAATACATGCTGTTCGGAATGTAATTTCGTCTTTTTTAGCGAAACAAACAAAAATTATAATGCTACTATATAGGCCAATGAAAAAAATAGTGTTTCATTTTGCGCGAAATTGAGCGAAAAACCCACAAACCTAAATAGTCGTTTCGCCACGTCTTTTTTACTTCCTGATCTCTTACGTCGAACATGACTCTAGACAACACATTTCTGGTCCCCAGTGGCGATCGGCTTCAAAAAWATATAATTTTCTTGGCGTTTGAATAGCAAATCAAAGACGTCCATGCGATAAGACAAATTTATTYCTTTGAGAACATAAAAAGCTCATCTGTAGAGCTTTGAGGTATCGAAAGGTTCCAAACCAGTYTCGGSAGTAATATTCTATCAATATAYTTTTTAATGTAATAAATTTTCCATTCTAAAGCCATCARATGCTCCGMAAGTGCCGATTTTTACTATCCATATTTGAGACGGTTTCAACGAAAAACTTGTTATCTACGTAGACTCAATCAAAAATTTGGCCAGTAAACCTTGCTACATTATTTTCTAAATATGGTATGATTCAGCAGCCTAAGTATAAGGATAAATGTGTCAATTAAAGTCCTCTGGTGGCAAGTACCACATATACCGGTCGCACATATTACGAATCAACACCTTTCCAATGCCCAATGCAGACAAAGGACACATGAATGGACGACGGACGATATTCTAAACCGAATCGACCTACGCAGAGAATATAAACATCATAATCGAGACCGATACAGAGCCATCCACCATGAAATTCAAAAGAAGTGCAGAATCGCAAAGGAAGAAGCATGACTCATTCAACCTGCACAAGAAAATAAAAAAAACACTGGGAAGGAACAAGAAATGCCCAAATTGAAAGTTAATCAGACACAATAACACCGTCATAACAGATATAAAGGAAAAATTGCAAACATGGAAATATGGCATACAACAACTATTTCAAGAAGACAGACCTAAACAACATGGAACAACGAGGCAACGTACTGGTCGAAATATATTAACAGAGGAAATCATATGGGCCATCCGTCAGTCAAAAACGGTAAAGCTACAGGCCTTGACTGTATAGTTGTTGATATTCTTAAACCAGCAGAAGGGTACTCAGTGATTTRTTCAACASCATATAYATCTCAGGAAGAAAAAAATYTAATGCCAAACAMCTCTCAGAGTATCGTACTATAAGCCTTATGAGMCATGTRCTAGAACTATTTCTGAAAGTAATTCAYAACAGAATATACAAAAGTGTGAAGAAACTGACTCAGACACACAGTTTGGATTCAGAAATGGTCTGGGAACAAGAGGTACTCCTTCTAGCATGCAAGTTCTSGTTCAGCGATGCTTAGATATGAATARACTAGTATACATGTGTTTCATATATTATGAGAAAGCTTTTGATAAAGTACAACATTCTAAACTGATACAAAACCTTCGAAGCATCGGGCTGGATCAACGTGACTTCAGAATTGTCGCTAATCTATACTGGAATCAACGAGCTTCTGTTCAGGTGGAGAACCATGTATCGGATGAGCTAGAAAACTAGGGAGGAGTCAGGCAGGGCTGCGTGCTATCACCATTATTGATTAATATACAATATTCTGAATCTATTTTGCCCAAACTTCTGTCCGAAAACGAAAAAGGAATATACGTAAATGGTATACCAATAAATAACATCCGCTCCGCTGATGATACAGTATTTCTGAGCAGTTCTTCTGAGGATTTGCAATGGTTACTAACAAAAATTAACCAGGCTAGTAATGCCAGTGGTTTAACACTAAATTTAAGAAGACCAAATTTATGATAGTTAGCAAGCAAAATATTGGAACTGTTCAATTGTCAGCTGCCCAAGAAATAATAGAAAGAATTGATCACTGTGAATACCTCGGATGTTACCTAAACAATGAATTTTGGAGATGACATTGGAGAGGAAATGCGGATCCGCATTGAAAAAGCCAGAAGGGCATTTTTCAAACTGAAACAGCTTCCTCATGTGTAGACAACCCGAATCTAAGTTTAAGACTACGCCTGACCAAATGGTACACAGTTCATATCTTGCTGTATGAACTGGAGGGATGGACACTATTGGATCGACATTGCAAAAAGGTTATTGAAATGTGAGTTTGTCGTCGCATACTTAGAACTGATGCTGATGTCTTGTTACGTTTAAATACAACGATCGACATTTTAAGCACAGTGAGGCGAAGAAAAGGCGATTACTTCGGACATGTTATAAGGGATGAGAAATTTGGCTCCCTTCAATTAATAATACAGGAAAAAATTGAAGGCCGACGAGCACCGCGACGAAGACGGACATCGTGGCTTAAAAAAGAGAGTGATATGTAAGAAGTACCAGATCCCTATTTCTCGAAAATTGGATCGAAAACGAAATTGTCATCTGAACAATAAATATTACTGCATAAATAAATAAATTTTCCAGCAAAGAACAAAAGCAGAGAAGCAAATTGACTTACTAACAACAAAGCTAGCAGATACTGCGGTACCAATAGAATAACAGTTTTGATTTATTTCAAGTTAAAGAACAAATATGTCTCTACTACTATTTGCAGCGTTCTGTTAAAATTACATACATAAATATGATAAAATCCCGTTCTAAAAATTGGGAAGACGGCACTAACCCTACTAGATATTTCAAAAACCCAATCCAATTTCCTAGGTACTACATACTTACAAGCGGAGTTCGTTAGAAAATAGAACTAAAGTAAATATTCGATTGAATCGATGTCGTTATCAACAACAAACGTGCTGATGATGTCAAAGCAAACAAACACATTTCGTAATTGTTAACCACAGCTTTACAATAAATATACGTGTGTGTTAAATCAGCTGAATTGAGCATTCAAACATTGTCCGGTTGAATTTTCAAATATTGCTTTTATTTGTTTTGAATTAAATATTTTATAGCACAGTTCTAAACTGAATTTTAGGATAATCATTTAAATATGAAAAAAAGTGGGCTCAGTTGAAGGAACCGATAAATGCAGACTGTAGAAACGACTGGAACACACCTTTCACACGTTTCAAGAACGAATAGCTTTATATTGCCAACTGTGAACTAACTATGTATATGTAAAAGCGCCTCGACCACCATCTTTAAAACAATATCAGAAATACGTAATTTTTGAGAAATATTCAAAATTAATTATAAAATTAATGAAAGGTTTCCCCAAAGAATAATGAACAATAACAGAACGTTATTAGGTACCGGATAAAAGTAAATAAAATATTACTGAATATATAAAATTGCAAATATCATTGAAATAACCACAATTGAGTCACTCATATCTCGGATCAAAAAGCCAATATTTCACTATTAAAAGTGAATTAATACCGATTTCGATTGAAGTACGTATAACTGCCTTCAGGCTCATGCATGTGCATACGCTTCGACAGGAAAATATAATTTTCACGCATTAAACGCATTTGAGTTGATTAGCTTTGTCGATACGCTTTAACACATTGTTCCAAAATTGTGGTTAATAAACGTTAAAACTTTCGCTTCCAAACGGTTTCCAATTGTTAATTTTAACTGACTCCATAACTACAATAATAATGTACACATGCGACTAAAAATAACTGTGAATAATGTATATTGCCTTCATCTTATCGTTGGACGACGTTTGCGCTCAACAGGCTATACAAATATAATTAATAGGTTGTTATCTCTTTGTACTTGTAAACGTAAAGCGAGCGCTAATGAAAGGATGCACAAACAAACAATCGCATCAAATTGTTACTAAGAATATCCAGTGGCGAAGAGCAAAATTGCCGTCATAAAATATTTTGTATCAACTAAATCAGATACGTAAATATTCTTATGCACATAATTTAAGTAAAATACTGAAAAATTTAAAATGTGCAATGAGGACAACATAAATACAAAACATAAAACAATTTTAAAAGAAGCTGTCATCAGTGTGTTTAAATCAGTGTGTTTTAACAGYTTGCATTAAATGTTTCACGTGCYTTACATCACTTACATTTCTCCATACCGGATGTTTTACCATCGCGCCATCTTAGTTCCGTTTCATCCCCAATTTCTTTCATTCGTCCAAATAACACAACTTTACATTGTTATTTTCAAGAAACCGAATTGTTGTTCAATAATTACTATTATCTTTAACGTTGTAGTTTGGAATGATCTTTGATTATCAGCAGCAGGCTATTTCTTCTGTTTGATTTAATGACTTTTTGCGTTAATTGCTTTATTATGTTAATAGATTCCTTTTTAGCAAGTTTTATCTTCTTCATTAATAACCGAATAATGGCTTTGCTCAATTCAAAACCAATCGTGATACATTGGATTATAATTGTGTATAAATTAATGAAATTAAATAAACTTTAATCTCTAATTTTTATTAATTTTTATTTTATCTTAAGTAGAATTAGTTAATTGTCATACGTATTTAATTGATTTCGGGGTACTTAAAATTAAAACATGACAAACGATAATTAATTTTTGTCGATACATCTACTTCTGTGTAGATGCATAATAATGGACTCCCTAAAGTAAAAGTTTTTTATAGTACTTGCCGCACTTAATGTGGTAAAACTTCTTCTGGTGAGCAGGAAATGTTACAGTTCCAAGAAAGCAATATTAAAAGCGGATAAAATGTTTGAAAACATTGATAAAACTTGACTGTTGAAAATTTCTATGCAATAAATATAATTAAATGATTGCTCGCAAAAAATGTAAATTCTGGAGCTGAAACATGCAAGTTAGGCAAGTGCGGCTGCTCGCTTGACCAATTACGCATAAGAATTGCTCAAAAATTATTCCTTCTTTAACAGAAAACAAATTTTTGACGTTTCGCTGCTTAATGAGATCTTTACTAGAATGCGTGGTTTACTCATGTCTTTTTTGTTAGGGAAATTGCGGGCGACTTTGTACAACCGACTAAGAAAAATGCAATGCTAGACATTCAATTTGAGACTTTAACAAAAGTGATTTTTTTTTCAGACGACTTAGTCGAAGCTAAACGACATGAAGCATTGTCAGGATCCACGCCTTTATCAAATGAAACGCAACACGAAAAAAGGTGAACAATATTACTGTTTAAATTTCAAATTAAAGAAGGTCTTTCTTATTAAAAACTGCAGCAATTTTATAGATAGACAGAACTTATTAGCCAATACAATCATCAAAAATTAACAATCGTGAATAGTTTTTAATGCATTTTATTCTACTGCCTTTCATGTTAATTGCTTGATTGAATGTGAGAAGTTTTTCTACTAGTCTGCTGTCTTTGGAATTAGAAACTTTTATTGAATTTGACCGATTTTCTATATTTGTTAACCTATTATTTAAGCACGTTTTCATTTCGTTGCGACCTGCTCATCCTATTGTTAGACCTGGAAGTAGAATTAAAACAAAAATTGTTAAGGGCTAGATCAAAAAGATAAAACTATTAATTGCATGTACGTTTACTTCCACACATTTTATTTTAAGATATTAATCATTGATAAAATCAGTAGTTGTGTTTTATCGTTACAACTAAGAAAAGCACAGCTATTTATTTTGAAATAAATCAATGCGATATAATTGCCACATTGCATGGAAAGAGTGTTTCAAATCGACCACATGTGCGTTCCATTCGACAGTAAAACTACCATTGACGAGAAGCAATATAAAAACTGAAACACAGTCGTTTGCAGACCTGGCTAGAGTTAAATATGCTATTGTATGTATCATTTTTCACGGCAGTGGTATTTACGTTACTGTATAAAATAATGAAAATTGGAAACGAGCAAAAATTAGTGCCAGCTAAAATTAAAAAATGTCCAGAAACTGGCGAAGTGTTAGTGAAACTTATCGAAAGGGACGTACATGTGTAAGTGAAATATTTATTTTCGACTTGCCTATTTTTCAAGAATTTTAGTATAATTTGTGTGTATATTTCAGTCGTTGTCAAGAAGCCAAGAACGATGTTCTTATTGAATCTAGAACGGATTTTATGGGAACTGCACCAAAGAAGTGAGTAACTTTAAATTTACATACAAATGCCCCATAAATTGATTATAAAAAGACAATTTAGTTTCTAACACTTTCAAAACAAATTAGTAACAAGTAGCAGAAAACATACGTTTTTTTTTTTAAGTAACTTTCTCGCTAACTTATATCTACCCGAGTTTATCTTATTTTCACTGCGTTCGGAACTTACTCATCAATTTGTTCTGCAACTATCTGTGTTTGTAATGCGTGTTAAATAAAAGCTGGTATTTGTTTATTTTATTTGTGAATCAATTTCAGTTTTGTTTCAACTCTGAATTAGGGATGCTTTACGAGAATGTTTTCTTCGGTTATGCTAATAAAAATGACCTGCTAAAGAACACGTCTATTGAAGAAAAAAGCAAGAAGATTATCTGAAAATACAGAAAGAGAGCAAGAGCGGAAATATGTATATCGAATGATTCAGAATAATGCGCATTATTAATTTCAATCACGTTCTTTGCAAGTTCAATGCAAAAAGCCAACGGAGCAAGCAAACAAATATGAAAAAATGTAAATATAACATACAAAGCAATGCAACTTTTATATAATTCTAATAATTTGCAGCTTGTGTGCAACTCATAGTCTTTTTGCTGTCTAATTTACAGATATGTTTCAACATGTTATTTCAAACCGAGAACTGTGCCAGCCTGGTATACAGAGTGCATTCTGATCCATATTGGATCAACTAAGAGAATCTACGATGAAAAAATCTGGTTTAAGGTAGGCACCGTATTATTACTGAAGCGAAGTTGTTTTGAAATCTGTTAACCATTCTAATTAGCAAGTCATACACAGAAACGTAATATTTTAAATGCATTTAGAGTTTCTTGAAAGTAAACATTTTATTTAATAGGTCTACTTTACAAATGTTAAAATACATGTTTATTCAAACTGTAAGCAGTTCTGAGAGAAACATGATACTTTATCCGGTTTTACTTGCAAATTTTCCTGCCAAAGTGGAGCATAGTTCAACAATCTGATATCATTATTGAATTATCTTTAACATTTCTTGGCTGACAAACTCTTGAAAATAATACAAATCGTCCACAAATGTGTTTGATTTCAGCAAAAACTACAGCCATACTACTGGACAGAAAAGATGACGACTACGGTTAATTTTCCTCCAACTAAGGCTCACTTTTCCGACTTGACGATTCCGGTGAGAGCGGAAGATGTACATTTCATGTCCTTAGAAGCCCAACAGATTGCTGTCTGAACTGATTGCTATTAGACTTAACAAAAGGTGGGGAAAACATATTTCCCGGTGTATTATTTACTACTTCTCAAAAGCCAAATTTTTTAAATTTGATTTTTTTTCAAATTTCCTCAAAGAGTGTTTATTGATGAAAATTTTCTCGGCATAACCTATTATTCTTTAAAGTTTGCAATACAGTTAAAACAATTTTTAATAGCAAAAATTGAGAACTCGTTTTGCGGTCGTTTATCGTTCAGATTTTGTTTCTTCAGCAGGCAATATTTATACTGGTATATGGTAAAATTATGGAAACGTATAATTTAAATGCTAGAGATAGACAGTATTTTTGTCTAGCGTTTTACTTTTTATTAATTGCGTTTGTGTTGTTTTTTTTTCAGAATACTACTACTGGTATTAGTATTCACCAGCCTCATTAGGAATAGATACGATTGATGGCATTCCAATACGAATTTAAATTTATTATCTACATTATATAACGTATACATTTATTAGTCATTTTTTTACTGAATTATGGAGCTCCATATTTATTAGAGTTAATAAAGATATTTGATGTGTGATTCGTATCGGTTACTTAGTATGTGTCGCATCGTTCCCGAAGTACGCAAGTGGATTTATAAGCTGTAACAGCTTGATTGTGGGCTTTCCATATCAAACTCAGACATAAAATAGGTCTTATTTGTTTGGAGCAAAATTGCATAAACTTTCATGATGTCGGGGATAACTTTCGGTAGTATTAACGTTAATAAAGATTACCGATAAATAACTATAAATTTTTAAACAGTGATAATTACTCTTAGTAATTTCAGTACTAGTTATTTTTTTTCGTTTCTCAAAGTTAACTTTGTTTCTAGAACATTGGCTAGTAAAACATTAGTATTAATAAAAGTTCCATATTTCGACAGCTTAATATGTATTGAAGGTCTCGAAAAATGTTGCCAATCGTTTTACATCTGTAATATTAAACAACAGAGCGATTGAAAGTGGGTGTCATTTGCCTAAAGTGGTGAAGGTGAAAGTTCTCGAAAAATACCGACAAATTTGATTTTTCTTTGGTTTAGTTTTATTATTGAATTAAAAAGTATTCATTTTGGAGGTTTAAGGTAATTATTATACAGGGTGTTCCCTAAATATGTTAAAATATTTTAACATTCGTTGTTTTAACATAACGTTTCGTTGTTGAGACATTTTACTTCCAAAATGGCGAAAAATATTAGTTTTTGTTGTTTTCCTATAAAACGGTTAAACATAGAAACTTCAATTTTGGTATACATTATAAGCTAATTGAGTTCCATTTTATGATAGTGTTTCGTGGTCCAGTTTGATTTTATACAGGGTAGAAATGTGGAATCCCTACTTTCATTTTGTTCAGAACTTTGTTGTGTGCACTTAAACTTTTCTCGCCATAGTTTTGTTAATTACTACCAAATATTTATCAACTTTTCTATCTCTTATTGTTTTTTCATAAGACCACTAGTTTGTCCGCAAAAAAATAAAATCGTTTTCTTTGCCGCTCTCAAAATGTGTAAGTAATTAAGTTAATTTTTTTAAACCTAATAACGTTTTCATATAATAATGTTGGTGCGCATTATTAGTTGATTACTAACAACCCAAATTATTTTTCTAAATTTTGTATTTTGGTTCAGATTACAATTATTAAGTTTGAATAAATTTTATTTAAATAATAACATGTTAACAATATGCGCAACCATGTAAACAAACAAAATTAAATTTAAATAACCATTCTAACGTTAACTTAGCAGCTGTTAAAATTGGTCAGCTATTAACAATTTATTGCCAAAACAACGCAATTTTTGTATTTTTGTGCTTATAACTTTGCAACTAATGGAGCAATCGCAATGCCCCGATAGAATAACAATAACTTGTAGAGAATAAAAATATCTACAAAATAAGAGGTCGGTCGCCTCAATCGGATAATCAGGTTCTGAGAAATTTCGGATAAACCGGAAAATTGGGCGTTTTGCCAAACGATAAATTTTTGTCAAAAAGTAGGGATTCCAGAGTAGGTACGATAATGTTCTTGGTATGTGTCAAAGGCAAGTGCTGTCGGTACCATTTGTACTCATTTTGTACATATTTTATATATTTTTATTCTCTACAAATCATTTCGTTGGGGTATTCCGATTGTTCCATTAGCTACAAAGTTATAAACAAAACCCGTGCGTTTTTTGCACTAAAATGTTATTAACTAACATATAAACTGAAATGCGAGTGAAAAACACCTATTCATCTGCTCATTTTCTTTTATATCATCGCACAATTGGTTTGCTACTGGTCTTTATGTCAAGCAAAAATGTTATACAGCTTGGTCTATGCTTCTTCAGCATTATGAAGAAGTGTATGAATTTATCAACACAGAAATGGCCAATTGAGACTACAAATTTTAAATGTTGGGTTGTTTAACCATTTAATAATCCATCTGAATTGTCAACATTACCGAATTTTTTTACAACTAATTAGTAACTATTATTGTGCCAAAGCTTTAAAAAGTTTTGATTATTTAAATTTTCTACCTATTTAGTTGAAAAGCTTTTGCTCATTATTTTTTATCGTTCCTTTTAATATACAGGATAAGACGGAAAATAATAAAAACGTTTTGTGAATATTTTGGTTTTATGCAACTTCTACCCGTCCAGAAAATATATATCTACGTTTGTACACAAACGTAATCTATAGATATGGCATCATATTTTGTCAATCAAGCTGTTAACATTAAGGTCAATATGAATCTTATTGATCAATATATTTTAACTGTCGTAAAAATTGTATACATAAAGTGTTGACAGTGAGTGTGCATTGTCTGCAATCATTGTGTGCTGTAAAGTTGACTTTTCTGTTATTAATGTGTGCGAAAACGAATAAATAAGCGAGTTAGGGACACTCTTATCTTAATTAATTATTTATACTGCTCAACAACTAATTTCTTATGAGAATTTAAAATTCGCCTTCTTTTCCGGAACAGATCCTTCATCCATTAAGTTTGTCGCCTGCATACGGATTTTTTTTCGTCGCTCCTTGCATTGACAAATAGACTGAACAGTTCCTATCGATTTCATCTCATGATATCACGCCGACATATTACAGTTTGCGCTCTTTGATGGTTGGTAGCAACTCCTTATATATGCCCCTACGGGAGACAAACCTGATGACAATGTTGAACTCTTTTCTAACAATATTGAAGAACTGATGCGGACAAGAAAGGTGAAAGAAAGTTGACCATGGGAGATCTGAACGCAAAGATTGGAGCTGGCGAGGAGGCCGATATATCGGTCAATATGGAGTGGGCAATGGAAAAACAAAATCAACGCCAAGTCGCCAATGTCTTTTTATGCTTCGTAGAATGTCAGAAAGCTTCCGACAACTTTAAAAATAGACTACTCGAGTTAGGAATAGACACGAAAGAATCATACAGAAACTACACTGGGACCAAACCGCTGAGATTAGTTAACCAAAACATATCCACAGATACCTTTAATGTATGTAAAGGGGCCAGGGCTGTATATTATCACGAATACCTTTTAATATATCGTTTAAATGGAAGGAAAATATCGTTCAAATAACCCTGGACGGAGTAAGGGGCGGAATTAAGATTAAGGTAATTTCAATTAACAATATACGGCATGCAGACGTTCCGCAATTCTAGCACAAACTTTACAGGATCTCCAGCAAATAATGCATAAGATAGAGGCCGTTTCGTTGTTAAAATCAACGCTACCAATACGAAACTTATGGTAATAAGTCGCCAGCCCATAATCAATATCACATTGACGGTTGATGGAAGTATTATAGAGCGAGTATCACGCCTTAAATATCTGTGTGTCATGATCAACGAACGACAGAACTGCGATGAAGAAATTTCTTAAGTTAAGAAACATAGAACGAATTACGCAAAAGTACCATTTTTCAAACTTAAAAACTTCCTATTAGCTCGCAGCCTCCCGCAAGCATTTAGCCTACGGGTAGTAAAGTGTTACACATGCTGGTCTTTCAAAGTTAGAACTCTGAACAGATTCGAGGAGCTTGAAATGTGTCTCTTCGGAGAGTTTTGCACGTGCCATGGACCGAACATGCCACGAATGAAAAAGTTTTAAGAACTACAGGCTGCGAACGAGAACTAGAAGAAGAGGGGGAAATGAAATAATATTGATATTTTTTAGTAATTTTTTTTATCTAAGAAACAGGATAATTTATTTGAATTCGCAGAAAAACTACACCGAACGATGTGTTGTTTGAAAGATGTGCTTTTTGCAATTATTTTTTTATAGATTCTATAAGTAACGTTTCATTTATAGAGAGTGTTCATCCTGTATAATAATTTCTGTGTTAACTATTAAAGAAATGTTGCAGTTTAATAAAGTATGAATTGAAGACAAATCGAAGACCTCTTTGGAAGGAATTGGCACTGAAATACTTTTACAGACATGAAGTTTTTGACAAATTTTTGTGCCAAATCATTGTAGATCGAGAGATTTTAAAGCATACTTCAAGGCGAAAAAATTATTATTATTTAAAGCGGCGACTTAAATATATTTCTTAGGTATTTGCAGAGAACAGTAGAAGACAAGCCCTCCAGAGCATTAAAATTTACTCGTCGAAAGATAAACCAGAGAGAGATATTTTATCAATAATGACCTATATAAGAGCCATTGTCCTTCACCCAAAAATTCTTCAGCAGGTAGGCTTCTTAATCATCTCATAAGTTTAACAGTTCGATTCAGTACTACCGGTACCTCGAAGTACCGTTACAGTTTGCTTTGCGTTCTGGTACCGTACGTTTAGCTTCACGTTAAACAGTAGATCAAACTACATGTATGTGGCAGTGCATTGGTGATATGTAAAAAAACACTGTGGAAATATTTCAGTGGTTTTCCTTAAATTTTGGTATCAGTTTGGATATAGACATCCATTTATAAGGTAAGTAAATGTGGAAAATATGCGAAGTATTTCAAGGGACATCATGTCCTTAACATTCGCTGAAGACGAGAAGTTGTGAATACATATGTAAAATACTAAATTCGTATTTTCTGTATGATCCCGATTATATGGGATTTGCATGTCAATAAGGCTTACATTCATTTAAATTTGGACTTTGCGAAAGATGAAAATTCAAATTTTCTAACAACAATACTCAGTATAATTTTGATAAGAATTTCAATTATTGTTTGCCTGATTGCTGTATGAGTAAACACCAAATAACTAGCGGTTACCTTTACTACATACATAGACGAAGACATTGAATCGTTGACATAATGTACTTTAATGCTATTAGAAACATGTCTTTTGGAATAATCAGTTGATGGCCGATGACTTAGTAGTTTCATTGGAATTACCGAAAAATGTTTAGACGTTTACGGGGTACAATCTAAAACAAAACACTATCATCGCTTAGAACAAAATTCATAAACTTATTGAACCAAATTGCATAGATTCTTCCGACTAAAAGCGTAAAGCGTAATGCGTAACACGATGCTAGAAAAATCATGGTAGTTTTGACAAAAACGGTGTTTTATAGATTTATTATGGAAGCTCGTGCTTTGCTCTAGTAACCCAACACGAAAATGTCGTGTCTTTGCATTTGATGGCGGAAATTTTCCGACCTGCCACAGATTATAAACTTCCTGCAGCAACTGTTTTGCCAACCTGTAATTATTAAGTTGAGATTTCATATGTTTTTAAGCTAATCATGAAATAAACTTGAACTGCTCGACCTTTAAAAACAACATTTAACGATAAGTCATTCTGTTAATATCCCTAAATCAAAATTAATTCCTGGATTTCAGTCATTAATTTTTTTATTTTTTTTTGTATGCCAAAATGCATGCTAATGCTTAAATCAGCAGCAACGCTACACGTAAAAACTGATGATGGTGGAAAAATACACCGAAACGTATTTTAATTGATAAATAAAGACAATAAATGACTGAAACCCACGAATTAATTTTGATTTGGAATTGAAACACAGTCAGTAAAGTATATACAATATCCCTAAAGTGTGGAAAAAGTCTATTCTCAATTTGTTTATATGATTATAAATTAAAAATAAGTAAAAACGAAAATAAATCGTCAATAAAAATACTTAAATAGTTTAAATTACTTTTCAAATAAATTATTTGATGATCTTATTTTAATCGTGCAAACTAGCCAAATGAAGTAGCATTTAGTAAGTACAATTATAAAAATAACTAGAAAGTAGCAATACACAGATTTTGATGGAGATAATGTGATGGGTCACTTTTTTTTATCAAAATAGGTCTTTCTTGTTTCATTTAGCCTAACAACGCTCTGTTTTTTAAACTATTTTTTCGAAAAAAAACCTAACGATGTGATATATAATCATCATCAATCATGTGATATGACAGTAATCGTAATAAAATGCTCGATTCGGTAAAGCAATAATCAAGTATGGTTGTCATAAAAAAAAATTCAGATATGTATCATATGTCAAAAATGACACTTATTTTGAAGAAATGTCTTATGCCGTTTGCTTGCAATTCACTTTCCTACAAGTTTTCTATTTGATGCCTTCCTGTCAAATTAGTATCAACGGAACTAGGAGTAATTTAAAAATTTACCATAAATATGTTTTTCCCAAATTTCGCTTGACAGCTGTCAAATTTTAGAAAAATAAAATTGGTTTCTAGTAGAGCATTCAAAACTACAATTCTTTGTCCATTTGACTTTCTTCGTATCTGCTCTAGTTTAGAAAATCTCTGTACTAGTCATCGAAAAAAACTAATCTTGTGTATGTGTGGGGAGGACGAAAATATATGTTACACTCGATGGACGCCAGGAAAAATATTATATAAACTCGACGTAATTGTGGATATATAAGTGTGTCAATAAAAGTATATCTTATATTAAAAATAGTAAAACAAACCCAAAAGCTATTTTTGCTGATCTCAACATGTTACTCAATGAAGAAATAAAAATTAGTTGTTTTAAAATATGGTTCAAATTTGAAATAAATGGCCCTAAAGCTATATGCCAATGTACGATTTAGCGTGCAATCWTGTGTTTAATTATTTTCATGTAAAATTGAATATTTTACCTAGAAAAGAAATGCCCAATGTCATTTTTGAAATTGTCATGTTTTGACGTTTGTAATTTTTCAAAAGCGTACTTTTGTAAGCATATGCCAGTGAAACACTGAGTGCTGAAAATTCAAGTGCTGCTATCACGGTATGGTGTTTGTATAAGATGSATATTTTGCATACAATTTAAAAAATCTTGTTTTRTTTGTGGCAACATCGGCGAGCGCAAAAAAAAATAGACCATCTGAACKACTTTGAAACTGAACTTGTAACAAATTTATAATTTACAAATTGTAAAAAAAAAGTAAACTTTAAATTATGATCTGGAAAGCCTGTCGTTTACTTTTTAATAAAAATATGTACTTTAAAATGTTTTATGACAGTGGTACGTTCAATTTGTCAGATTTACTTTTGCGTACATGTGCGTAAAAGTAAAACAAATGAACAGTAGAGAAAAATGCTTCTTTTTGATCATCGCTTCTGATCGAAAAATTGCACTTCGCAGATTCATTCGAATAAAAACTACTATTTCTTGACCGAATTGCTCGGTGCATTGAAAAATGTAGGCACTTGACTGGAATCGATTTTCACTAATTTGTTTATAAAATGCGGAATTAACTAATGATTTGTATAGCTTAGAAAAAACACGCAACGCAATTTTTTCATTTCATCTCTGGTTACATCTATCGTGGGACACAGTGTATGTTTGCCGATATTTCGTAATTAAAGCTGGCAAGAGTTGATTTTAATGTGAATTTCATTGAGAAATATATTGTGCAGTTATACCAAATGTTATACAGGATATTGTATGTGACGTGTGCTTTAATGCAAACTTAATTATTTTTTATAATTACTTTCTCAACTAAACTCACAATATACAGCCAAATTGAAAATGCATACGAATTTGAAAATTCATAGAAAATTGAGACATAATATTTTATGGACTGAACCCTGTGTAATTGTCTGTAATTGTAAAAAATCCGAAGTAATATGATTTTACAACATTTTGAACAAATCACAACTTCTGAAGACAGAAATACACTAGAAATTCGCTTAGATACTAGACTAAATATACGTTTAAAATGCTTTATATGACTAAAACAGGCGGAGAAGACTGCATTTAATGCGAATATTCAGTGCTAGCTGACTCTACCTTTTTCAAAAATATGTAATTAAAATTGCCATTGTCGAACATCCTGTATATATTAAATATATGAAAATTAGCCCGTACATATACGGGCGAAGTGAGTTAAACATACGCGTATACGTTTTCAAACTTAGGGTGTGCTGAAAGTGTTCCCATCCTAAGGTCGAAGATATCAAGCAGCTTTTGTACTAAGCCCATCTAATTCCTAAACTGAAATTCACACCTGTTGTCTCAGGCAAATGCGATAATAAATTAAATGGTAATGTAAACTGTTTGCTTTTTTGTTTCTACTGTTGAGTACTTGATATTGTCTTATCTAAAACTTCAGAACCATTTTCGATATATTTATGTGAAAACAATTCAAGTGGTTCATGGTTTTAGTTGTGGTTATGGTGCAGTGCAGGTGTTAATAGTAATACATGCACGATAATAAATGTACGTTTCCAAGTAGCTAAAAAATTTAGTGTAGGTAGTAAAAAGAACAACAGTAATTGGCGATAAAAAGTTTATTGAAATACAGTAATCGAGCAACCGGGTGCGAACACGTGTACTGAACTAAAAGATAAATTCTCATACAATGCGACACAAAACCCCGCGAATGAGATTCGAAAATTTAATTTTATAAAACAATAAAAATCAATTATTTTCAGCTCTCACCAATGGCCAATATACAACTACTATCACTAGTCATTCTTAGTCTCATAAATGCATCTATTCAAGATGTTACAGACAACAAAGTTCGTTCACAGGAAGAGAGCCCTCTGGCTGGAATAGCTAAGGAAATCATGAAAGAACAAAATCTGGAGAATATTGGAGGAATGGTAAGTAACCGTCAATACAAAGATGAAGTAAATTCTAGTTATTTGCTATTATTTTAGGTAAATAGTTTCATACAATCTGAAGGAGCAAAACAGCTAATGGGCAACGTTTTGCAGAATTTAGCTTCCAATGAAAACTCAGGGCAATTACTGCAAAGTTTAGGCAGTATTTTCAACAGCGAAAATGATGATACGCAAGTTGAGAAACGAAGCTCCAAGAAAAAGTCGCAAGGTAGCTTAAAATTTAGGATTATTTAATTTGGTTTATAATAAAGCAGCGAGTGAATACCAAAGATTGTCAAATGGCCACAATATAAATCGACGTTATGTGCATATATCTATACAGGGTGAGCTATACAAAGGAGCATATTGTATATTAAATGCCCGGTTGTACAATGGTAGCTTCAGCCTGACTAAACAAAACAACTAAACTCAAGCAACTAAACTCAAGTTGAACTTGATCTGGGATTGAATTTGGCAGTCGGGCGGGGCGATCTTGCGATTTTGCGGGCGATCGAACCTAAACTGAATGCGCCAACATTCAATTTTACCCAAATTTACTCGTTAACTTGTTTTGAACTTCAGTTCAACTTAAACGGATATTGAAGTAGCTTCGTGTAACCGGCCATAAGGAAGCACGCACCGACCGAGAAAAATGTGATGGTGTTCCATCTTCCCAGGCAACCAAACGACGCATCTGAAACTTGGGATAAACGGTGTTAAAGACACAATACAACGCCTAATATCACGTTTTGGCTACAAAAATGCAACGTTTTTTTCTTCTAGTTCTAAAATAAAGTTGAACGTTGCCTCTTTCAAAAGGACTTCTATAAAAATCGTGTTTTTTTCGGAGGCTCATTTGGGAGCAAAGCCCCACCTCAGCTTGATATCTTGAAAAATGCGGTCAGAATTTATTCATAGTTATTGGTGATATTTAGACGAAAAAGTGATTTTAATGACGTTTAAATGGCGTCTTTATTATGAGATTATTTCGCTTGCTTTAATTTACGAAGATTAGACCCATCAGATCAGACGAATTAAAATGAGACCAAAAATCGACGTCGATTAAATGTTTAGTCATATTGGTATTGCCTGAGTTGCTTAAACCACAAGCCTCGCCTTAAATGAATTGGAACATCTTCAAGCAACTCGTTCAAATTTTGTTGAAACCCATGAAATAGCCCCAAAAAAAGCACCAATAACTACAGGTTTATAAAGCATATTTACTGGAAGTTTTATCAAATTATTTTCCAATTTGTGATACCGTTTCGTAATTCCAGTCTAAAAATGTGAATACATTTATCGACTATTTCGAATTAGTGCTTAGCTAGTTCCATTATTATCTACCACATAATTTGGTTGTTAAGAGTTTATTGAGCTCAGAAATTCAAATTTTCAATTTGTTTGGCTGTTACTCCTAAAGTACCCGGAAGTGATTTGAAACCATAAAACTTTTTTGTCTGCTATACAGGGTTAGTTTCTTAAAGTGTTAGAAGGCTAGACCTCAGAAACGATTTCCAATATATTTATAACATTTTGGGTAAGGGGACATGTTCTAACATATGTTTCATTTTTCTACCCCAAACTTTTCGCTTTGAGAGAGAAAGGCAGCTTTGAGATTTTAAATGGAGTGATAAATGTTTTATCGTAAAATTTGATTCTGCATGAAAAACTACGTATTTGTACAATTTTTATATCATTTGATCACTTAGTTCGAGAATTATCAGGCATACGCTAAATAAGCAAACTTAATTTATTAAATTAATATAATAAAGTTAATAGTATATAATGTGTATTAATAATAATCACATTTCAAACACTTTTTTTCGCACGCGCCTCAACATTTCAGATGCTACTAACAAGCAGGCAGAGCAAGTTATTTCCTTATTATTAGAGGTTGTGGAGACTTTATATTTTATGAAACCCCATAAGAAATCAAGCGGAGTCACATCTGGAGACCGCGCAGTACAGCTTGACCGTTAACCAGTTGACCGTACCACGACGGCATACTTGAAAAATTATAATTATATTAACAAAAAAAACCGTTAAAACACCAACATTATCAGTTAATTTAAGCAGTGTTTCGATGAATATGAAAATATAGTTTGAAATACTATTGACTTAACAAAGTTTAATTGTACATATTCAAATTAAATAAAATATAAATTATCGATAATTATATAACGATATGTGGAACGAAAGTGGAATCAAAAATTTCCAAAGTTTGAATATGCAAAGTTGCTTCTGCTTCTCAAAGAGTGCGCTTGAATAGATTTAACCAAATGTGTGTAAAATTAAAAAGGAATATTTTTTAGCCAACACCTTAGTCGAGGCTTGCAGTGAAAAACCGAGTAAATCTTTCTTAATTATTATTGAATCAACTGTTATGTTCAATGAAACTATCTAGAGTGTGTATGTAATGTGCATACGTATATGTGTAATTCCGAAAGAGCTGAAAATATACCATTGAGTGTAAAATAAGGTCGTGCTATATTTGCGCTGTTAAGTCGAAAGCAGTTTAAAAAAAAACCAAAACATTTTTTTTTACTGTCATATTAAAAGTAAATCAAATATATTCCGTTAAAATGAATTAAAATTAAACGAAAATTGGTTTCAACTGGTCACCCACACAGTTAAATTACCACTCAGAATTAACAAAAAATTGGGAAGCATCTTTTTTGAATACCAATTAAGCTACTTGATCTCCATTATGGTCACAATCGTATTCTATTTATTAATTGCTTTGTAACAAGCACTTGGTAACATCTAAAAGTTTTAAAGTTAAATGTCACGAACATCCTACGAGTTTCGGAGTTTCATCATATGTTTGTTGAAAAAATATTGGAAAAACAAGACGTGACCAGACAAAACTTAGTATTTTAAAACACACCGTAAAATGTATTGTTTAAAATGGCTTGACAGTATCGTAACTAGAGTCTACTTAGAGTTACAAGCAAACGAATTAAAAATGTGAACTTTCGAATAAAAGCCTCCATCCACCAAATTTGTTGGGGAAGCTAGTTAAGAAGTTTGTAGTAATTAACGAAAATTTAACTCAAACGTTCACAGCTTTTAAAACTAACACGGTGCCCCAAACTGAAAAATTAAATTAATTTTGCTCAACAAACCTGCAGTTAACGGATGACAGTTGAAAATCGAATTTTAACTTTGTTATTAAGCACTATTTTGAAATGGTCCCATGTTAATGAGGCAGATTACCTTGAAAAGCATATTTGCCATCCTTCTGATCTAGTTCTTTGCAAATATCTCAGTTTTTAAAGACAATTCATTTTTTTTAACTATTTTGGCTCTGCTTCCCAAAATACTCCCAGAAGAATGACGCGAATTTTGAATCACCCTGTATAATACCCTGAAAACTCGAAATTGGAAGACGTGCCACGTTGTGAAACGATATGGAATGTGGTACAAAAGTATGGAGTAATAAAAATATCTCGCATTTCGCCTTCCGGATTTGTATGAAATTTTCGGCATTGAAGAACAAAATTACGCCTGTTATAATTGCGAATACTGACATTTTCTAAGGTGCCTTGTATTTCGGAAACTGACAGAAATTAATTGATTTCTAATGGTACACTGTACATTTTTCAATACACTGTTTAATTCAAGTTTAATTAATATTTTTAAATTACTTTAAATGCTGGAAACGCTGAAAATTGCTTTTAAAAAGTACTTAGAATTTCAATCGGATATCGACAATTGCATTAAATATATAGGGTTTCCTTGAGAAAATTTTTGTAAATCTCAGAAAAACTAGTTCCTTAAATCTTTTACTACAGTTATATTCAACGAAATTTTGTACATAAGGGTGCAAAATTTCATTCAAATTGGTTGGGGGATTGCTGGATAACTTGGTCCATCCTTTATCCTTTTAGACCTTTAGAAGACTCGCAAAGGTTTCAAGAAATAAAATCTCAAGAAAACTGGATATTGCTAGAAATAAGAACAAATTTGGTTAGAGTAGGTACACCAATATCCAAAATCCAAAGTAGCAATTGTTTTGCTGTAATAATATAAATAGTTCAAAGCAGCTGACAAGAAATTTGGAATAACCCTCGAACATCGCACAGAAATGTTAGAGCATTTTGCAGTTTTTGTTTGCTCATGGAACCCAAACCCCTAATTTGCTTTTCTTAAGACGGTCTTTGTAAATATAGAATTAACCAAGTGGGAGACTCGCTTTTGTTTGTATTTTGTAGGGCAGTGTGCAAAGTGTCTGTTTTCAGTCATCATCAGTAGGCCTGGGTAACACTGTGTTGAGTTGCGCTTTTAAGTTATTGCCTTTCTGTGCTAATAAGTTTTAACACACGCACTGCTCCAACCTCTGAAACGTCACTAAGTTACCCAGGCTTAAATCACAGTATTTTTGGCTCTAAACCAGTGTGGTGCCCGAAGGGTTTGCCACAACTTCGACTTGACTTTTAAATGAATTTGGTGGGGCACAGTCCGTTTTATAAGTTGCAGAAGTTTCGATCCTGAATAAGCATCAGCCAATTTTTGAAAGAAAAATTGCATACTTTTGAATTTTGCCGATTGCTTTTCCTAGTTTTACAACTGCTGTTTACTGATTTAACTACTACTGTTTATAGATTCCGCATCAATACTGCGGCTGAACAGCCCGCCGATTTTATTAAAACGTGGCGCTTTAAACTAAGCAGTTTTTTAAAACTTCAGATTTGCAAAATAATTTTTATTTGCAGATGACATCAATCCTTTGGAACTTTTATCGGGATTAGGTTCCATAGTTGGTGCAATGCAGGGAGCTGGCGGTGATGGACAAGACAATCCAGCTGCTCTTTTACAAGGACTGGGCTCTATACTTGGAGGTGGCAATAACGCTGGTAAGAACAAAGTAAAAATATGTAATTAATATTATACATAACAGTTTATTTATTTTGTTAATACAATAAAAACATAACGATTTAAATTCATAAAATATTTTATCAACAACTCGAACTGCGAGAAAAATGAAATTCGAATTTTACGATAAGCAGACACTAGGACAGTATAGCGTAGTTTATTGAGTTTCAACTGATTTTTCGAAATTATAAATCAAAAATACAATAAGTTTTGCAAGCCTCTACGAACGTTGAAAAGTCAGTAACGGGTTTTCAATAACAAAAATTTTCTAATAAATAATATGAAAATTAAAAGCGCACATTATGTGAGGCAAATGGCTAGAAAGTGCCACCAAAATTGCGTATACTTTTTGTTATCGGGATTAAGCGCCTTGCCTACTATTTATTAGTAAAACGTTGACCGAATTAAGCAAATCTACTCTCATGAAGAGACCTGAAAAAGCGCTTTATATCACAAAAGTCACGTTGATCGGGAACTGTTGAAAAATTTGAGTTTTCGTAGAAGTAAAATTTAGTTTAAAATACCGAAGAGCAATTACTCCCGTTAATATACGATTTTCACCCTAGACCTCGGAAATATTCAATAATGATCACATTAAAAACTAAAGCTACCGCTCTTTTCTTAAGTTTATTTTGAATTTGATCCAGTATGATTTGTGGCATTTAAGGGCCCCAAAAGATGAAAAACTTTTATCTTAGACACATATGGCTACTTGGACCAATCGTTTTCCTCCCTCGACTCTGTTGCAGAAGGGCTTTCGACAATTTCGCCCAAAATATTTAAATGTGAACAGCAGACATTTAACTAAACGAAACCATTTAATTAAAGGATTATGAAGTTTCAAATAATTAATTGATTTCACCGAATTTCTGAACTAGATATGACCTTATTAATGAGAGAGTTTGAGCTTTTAGCAAAATCATCGGGTCAAAATCCGTTTAATTCGTAGATAGGTATACCAGATATAGTTATTTGCGCAGGTTCTGATGAGTGCTTTACTGAATAATGCTAAATCAAGCAAATTTGTGAGAAAAATTGAAATGATTATTTGGACATCTCACATATTTGTTGTTTTTCAGTGTAGAAAAATTGCTATTAGAAACTGTTTCAGCAAACTGGTTTTTCTGTGTGCAGCGCCTCAGAGTTTCTTTGTACAGTTTCACAGTCCTCTACATACCATATGTTTGATATAATCGACAATTAAATTATTCACAGGAGGAGGAAATAATGCCGCAGCTTTACTACAAGGACTAGGATCTCTTATGGGAAGCGTTTCTCAGAATGGAAAAAATGACGATGGTAATCCAGCTGGTGCCATTTTACAAGGTCTTGGTTCCATCTTAGCTGCTTCCAACGGACAAAAAGAAGGTGATTTTTAATCTTCCATTTCACCGTGACGTTTTAAAAATATGTATTTTTTCCAGGAGAAGGTAATGCTGGTGCCCTTCTTCAAGGTATTGGTTCTTTGTTTACATCAGGAAAAGAAGGAAGTGGAAATGGATTGAATCCGGAAATGATTGGAAATTTGGTGAACATGTTTGCAAATTCTCAAGGCCAGCAGAGGAAATCAAAAAAATCGAAGCATCCCAAGACAACTTCAGGAAAAAATAAAAAACCAAGAAAGGTGAGTTGTCGGCACTTAAATAGTAAATCTATAACAAAGTCTGGTTTTTAACTTCCACTTCAAAGTAATGATTGAAACATTATTTCACCAGAGTGGTCGCAATGCAGTATTTAATTGAATAAAAAATGTAAATTCTTGCTGTATTTTTTTCATCATTTTTTATAATTTCTTTTATTATTGATATTATATTACTTTGTGGGTATTACTTCCAACTGTTGGTCATTGTTTTTTCTTCAAAAATGAGCAAATTATCAATAGAATACCTCAGTTTTCTTAATTTTAAATATAACGACACTTAACTCTGGCCATTTTACCGTGTTGCTTTCTTCAACAGTTTTGTATTTATATAGAATCTTTAATTTAACCTTAACTGGCGTCTTTCTTCTGCAGATGTGGTAAGATGTGATAAGGCATATATAACAAAATGTAAGAAATATATCTAAAAATTACGCATTTTAAAACTGAGATATTGACAAAAACCTTAAATGTTACTATGAATCAAATACTTTGTTAGGATTATGAATGCAAATTTAAGATTTTGTTTGCTCCATTTATATAAGATTTAAGTGTGTCTTTTCTTAACATGCAAATGCAAACCTTGAGAGAAACGACGCCAATTTTCTATGACCAATTTGTTTTTATAATAATTAGTAAATTTTACAAGAAAGCAGTTTGAACAAACTCATCATTATTTAATGTAAAAAACCATTTCTAGTTATTTTCTTTAACTAATAATTTTTATATTTGCGACGAACACCATAATTACAGGATGAAGCATCAACACCACAACCAGAGAAGGAAGAGAAAAGCGATAGTATTCGTACTTTGGGCAAAAAGTTTCCAATCGATAAGCGAACGGGTGGTTTCGATTTAAATTTCGTTCTCGAAAATTTTCCTCTGTTTGTTAAGTTGGCTAAAACTGCTGCTGGACCCAAACTCCAAGTTCGTACTAACTAATACTAACCAGGTTGAATTGACTTTCATTTAGCAGAAAGTAGCTATACGCGGAACGTGCTATTTGCCTTTTTAAATGTTTCGTGAAAACAAAAGTAAAAATGTTTAAATCTCTCAAGAATGTCTTCGCGCCAATAGTCCGGAACTTTCAGGAACTTGAAACAACGGAACAGAGCTCAATTCAATTTGTTCTCGATCTACATTCTGAATGACATTTTAAATTGAAAAACATTTTATATTATTCAACTGCAAATTACTTCCGCTTTTTTAAAGTCGCTTGAAAATGGACTTTTTGAGTACAAATTTTTTTTTGGTAAATGTTGACCACATAAATTTGGTATTTTCAAACAATTGGAAAGAAAAGTTTTATAAGAAAGTTTTCATGTTAAAGTGATTGAATGAATATTCAAAGAAAGTATATACAAAATAAAGCATCCCTGAATTAAAGTGGATGGCTTCAGGCTAATAAATTTACTAAAATTAACTTGCACAACTAATTTTTACGATGTTGTAGAAACTGATTTCTGCTAAGTGATAGTTGAATCTTGCTTTACAGGGAACTGTGCTGTTTATACATGTGGGAAATGTTTCATTGGCATAATTCAAATTCATTCAGAATATTGATCAAAAACATTTTAATCCCTAACAACGAAAGTTGCAAAGTTAGTCCAAATTTGTCATTTATTTGTTGAACAGTTCTGGTAAATATGGTTAAATATTTTTTGACAAATATTAATTTAAAAATAACGTATTTCTCTCATCATTTCTCCTCTGTACTGTGATTTGCCTTAGTTAGACACAAGAAAGATGATGTTCAACGCCCTTCAAGTCAATAGTTATTATTTTGTATCAAACATTTGTCATCGCAATTAAATGTATTGCAAAAGCATTTTTAAGAATACGAATGTTCAGAAAAACTGTAATATTTCTTATAAAGTTTAAACCTGCAACAAATACAATGTTTTGCAAGTACCTCGATAACAGAACATTTTCTGCAATAAGTTTAAAATTTAATATTAACTATCATAGATCAGACTACGAAAAGAGTTTTATTCGATAGTTTGTACAGGACTGTCGTAAGCCACAGTTGATTCGTAAAAACATCGTGTGACCGAATTTGGAGTTTTAATTGTCTTAGTCAATGCAAATTTTATTCCTACAAAACGTTCAAAAGCATTTGAAAACTGTAACGATTTGTAGGTTCCACATTAGTTGCTAATAGAAGAATTGTAAAAAAATTCGGCGTTGTGTTTTAGACTGTTTTGCAAAATTGTTTTGGCCAAAAGAAAGATAGTATCGGTATTACAAAAAAATGATTATAGTTAAGTTCAAAAACGTTAATATAATGCTAACAATTTTAATAGTAGATAGTAAGAAATATTTTGAAAATTTCGGCAATGGACATTAATGCAAGTAAAATATTAGCGTTTCCAATCGAGTGTAAATCGACCAGAAACATATTTCAAATGACATAAATTGTACATCAGAAAAATTCCTCCATTAAAAGAACGCCAGATAGATTTAAGCCCTAAAATATATCTAAATAGAAATATAATTTTTTATTACGCACCGACAATTTATTGGGATAAATATGATCAAGTAACATCAGATAGTAAAATATATTTACAAGCACTTTATTTCCCAAATAAATCCATTATAGCCTAGATCACTGAAATCTAATTGAAATTGTTTACTTAGTAAAAGCGTGTTCAGATATCTTCCATTTGCAAAATGTGCATGTGGGTTTCATTTCATTTTTTTTGTAAGTCTCATTTTTGATAGTAGTAAGTCAACTAGAAAAGGTCTTAAAATTTACATTGCTTTCATATGGCTAATATTTGAGAGGCCAATTCTATTGAGCGCTATTCTGAAAAACTTCCTTTCTTATGCATCTCTTCCCATAACCATACGAGGTTTTTTAACCAGTGGAAAACATAAATTCCCAAAACCTAACTCTGTAGTGTATATGTTGTGTTCCATGTGCGCTATCTGCTACCAAACTAACAGCTTCTTCATCCGTTCGGGCAGCAACATTTGTATTCGTTCCTCATCTGCCTTATGTTCAATCTGCCATCAGAGCTAACGGTTTCCTAACTTATATCTAAACTAATACACTAACACTAATTTTAGCAACTCCTTGAACCAATAGACGATCTCATATACGTATACACAGCTCTAACAGATACAGAGCGTGATGTTAAATTGGAAAAACTGATCCCAAGGATTGCAGGCATTCTTGACGCCGCCCAGAAATACCTTGACTTACATGATAAAAGGGTACTACCGGAGTACGAAATATTTTTTAAGGAACTACATTTCCATAGGAAATTACAAAAATAAATTGTTCTATTTGTTGTAGGGCAAAGAAGGTCTAATCGATAAAGATAATTCGTTCGATCTGAGCAATGTAATAGGAATGGCAAGTTCCTTTCTGAGTCAAGGAGGCTCCGAAGCAAATGGCAGAAGTAGTTCCAGTTTCATGGACTTTTTGCCAATTATTATGAATACCATCAACTCATTCACAGGTAAATCATCAAAGATTTTTCATTTTAGGCTCAATATTAATGTAATCAACAATTTGTCCAAATTCTGCATGTTTTATCTGCAAACGTTGAGAATGCAAGGAATCAGGAAGCATAATTTTATATTTTAATAGTGAAAACTATTCAGGTTATTCAGTGGTAAAAAAAATGCTGATTCTGGACAGCATATTTCCAATAAAAACGTTTACTAGGTTGTAGAGAGTATGTCAAAAGACAATATAGATATTTTCGATAATACAATAATTTCATCTCTCGCTACCTTTCTAGCAAATTAGAGTCGAATATTTGTGTATTTAGCAGCTTCACAGTTAAGCTCATTAAGCCGGTGAGTGTTAAGGGTATTAAACCGCGGTCGAAAATAACAATTTCTGATGTTTTGGAAGCATTAGACAAAAAATATTGTTGACGACGGACAAAAAAAATTGATCACTTTCTACCAAAGTAGCTGCCAAAATAAATTAAACTAAAAGCTTTAAATAGAAATATCACCTAATTTGCAAAATCAGTTTTTGCAAACAGGACCCTTTCTATTTTCGGATAATCAGTATACCATTTGTATTAGTTTTGCACTTAAACTGTAGAATCAATATGATTAATTAGTACATTAAATAATTTGCAAATTTACTACTACGAAATTCCTAATAACATAATTTAATTTCGTTCCGCCCACACACAATATTGCCATAAATAAAATATAATATATAATATATGATAAAACCTGTATCAATAAACAATAACGGAAAATAAATGGAATTTTATTATTAAGTATAATATATAGTAACCTTATGGTAATGAGCATCCTCGCGAATACAGCTTGCATTTGAATAAATTTGCTTTGTATCTAAAAATTACGCCGAATGAAACAATATCGATGCATCGCATTTAAAAAAAAAGATCAAAGACAGGCAGTTTTGAATAAGGTTTTTATAAATGTTTATAGGTCCGGAAGCCGAAGAACGAGCAGAAGGTCATTCGGGACATTCTTGGGCCCTCCCGCCAGTAATAGAAAGAATTCACATTTATTTCGATAACTTTATTAATTCAGATATGGGAAAAGAGTTGATGAGTTACATTGAAGGACAGCAAGCTTTTAAGGTAATTTTATTAAAAAGGTACTATTACTTAAAAATAATAGAAAACTTAAAGTTTTAAAGATTTCATATGTCATATAGGAAAAGAATTATTGATGATGAAGATTCAGAAAGGTTTAGAAGAACGGTTTTCCTAGTAAAATTTGCTTTCGATTATCCATGTACTGGGTAAACAATTTGTTATAAATTACAATAATTTTTGAACAAAGTATTGTCAGTTTTATAAATTGTTCATCTGATAAGATTGCCTTTCACAAAATTTAAAAATCTATTTTATGTCTTGCTGGGTGATATTGATTTTTATTTAAAATATTTCTTATTTAAATTATAATTACTTTATATCATTACAATCATAAATTTAATGGAAATAAATTATAACAAATTTTGAGGCATTTGAGTTGCCATTATTCGAGAAATTAACATAATAAAAATATATGCCGACACAAGGCGGGATTATTTGTATCATAAATATGTAATATATATGAATTTCAAGGTTTTCGGTAGCATGTCTTTGTATATATTCGTATACATGTTTCGGAACTTGAAAAGACATCTCATTTTAAAATGAAGTATTTAAAACTGTATGCACTAATAACTATACAGTTTCTAAAAATAATTGTCGAAAGGCTTCTTTTAGAACATACAAATTTCTAGCATCTAATTATAATGCCAACATTTTTTTAACACAAAAATTATTTTCTGAATTTAGTTTTATCGCTCTGTACTTCTTAAACGAATCATTTTCGTGCGTATCCATATGCGAACTTTTATGCTTCCAACTAAATGTAGAATACCATAGTAAATTAAATACGTCGCTAACTGAAACACCCTGTGTATAAGGAATGCGTTCACTGACCGTTTTTATAGTCTGTAGCAGTAAACCATTTCAATGGGCTAAAATTACTCGTAGAGTCAATCTAAATCAAATATCGCTCAATTTCAATCTCTATTTCTTAAAAGTCTCTAGTGGCTAGTTTTTTTATTATAGAGAACAGCCCAGAAGCTAAACAGCAATACTTATGCTTGGGTAAAAAATGTATAATATCGTCCTTTTTTCTTTAATTTAATTTCTACTTTTCATTCTATTTGTTGTAAATAAAAACCTAAAATTGTCATTAAAAAGTTGAAATTTCATCATTAATACGATTATTTTCGAAGTAAACGCAAAACATTTAAATACTTTATTAGTTTGGGTTAGTAACCAGCATCTCCGTCAGGATTTAGACTGAGTTAATGTTAATAACGTTATTTGGTCTGAAAGATCTATTTAAGACTTTACTGCATTACAACTTATGCATTGGCATCGGAATTACATTTTTTAAGCTAATTTTTTAATCAATTTTTCTCATTCTTCCTAGTTATTTTATTTGTATCTATACACTAACACTACTAACACTAACAAACTATTATGATAATCTGAGCAAATTAACGTTTTTATGAACCGCCATGCAAGTAAATCTGCATCTGAGATTGGAAATATAAATCTGTCGTAAGAACAAAAATTCTAAATTGACAAATTATCGAAAATACTTTAAACAGTATATTGAAGATGATGATGAGGGAGCACTAGAGTAGACAATCATATATAAATACTTTGAATTATTTTTGTAGGTTTTTAAAGATGAAAATGGCGTATTCAGCTACGACCGGTTCAAGGAACTAATTGAGAACCACTCTTTCCGTAGACATTGGATACAACGTATCACGAAGAAATTAGTGGACTTTTTAAAAATTGTCTCAGATGACAACGTCCAAAAAAAGTAATTATTTGATAATCCATTGAGGCAAACTAAATCAATATATAATTTTTAGATATATTAACATGGGTATTACCTTTACTAACTCGTTTTTGAAAAATACTGGATTCCCTAAAGACTCTCTACTGGATATTAAAAACCCAGTTCAATCAATTACAAATTTTATTAACTTTGCTGCAAAGAAATACCTCGATGCTGAGGTAAATGCACGAGAGTATGTGGAGCCTGCTGTATTTTACACAAAGGTATGTGGATTTGTTAATTATTTCAGTTGATTGGTAGAAGTTGAAATATTCGTGTTTAAGGATATACTGCAAATGGCGAAAAAATCAATAGCCACTCAAGAATTAACTGATAAATTAACCGACACCATAAATATGGAAATAATTGAGCCTATTACCAGGGTAAATCGGGCTTATCGATATTCGAAATCTGAACCCAGTTGTGATAAGTGAGTCTCATGAATCAAGTGTTTATCTCTTTCGCTTTCACGTATAATATTCTCCTGCCTTCTCTTAGATATCTTTTCTGTATCATGAACGAGGAAACGTCCTCACCTTATAATTCAGGAAGTCTTCCGGAGCTTAGAGGCGCTCTTTATAAAGGATACAGTCTGGTAGCCGGTTGGTTCTTGCGACTTCATACCGGCACATCTTACTGGGACATATATGACGCAGTGACGAAAGATAAAAATTGTCAGGTAGGAAAAGAAACTATTGCACATTGGAATCGAGCATATTATCTTTTTGGCTTTCTCTGCATAAAGATGCCTCAGAAGAACAACATAAAATTCCTTTAAAAAAGTGACTGAAGATTGATAGTGGTCTTCTCCATAATAACTTGATCCTAAAGAAACCTACCACATGACTGGTATATTATTGCTATACAGGGCACAGAGCTTCCGATACTATTAATTTGCTTTTCCGCAACAGCTTTTATGTCGAAGAACTGGATTAACAAAACTTTTCACATTCATCTGTCGTGAGAGTTAATTTAACATGAAAATCAGTAACATTTTAGTAGGTAGATTTACTATATCTGATGTAATTTCTAGGATTACTACAATAAAGCATGTGATGGATTCTACAAAGAAGAAGTTAAAGCAACGACTGAATATATTCATAATGAACTCTAAAATATCAATTGCATTCCATTGAATTCAAGGCAGAATTATATTCCATAGAAATGCATTTGAACATTCAACAAATTTTAGGTAAAATGCAACTTCAAATGTATTTGTTTCGAACAGACTTTATGGTGTTAAAACAAAGAGAACATTTTAAGTATTTCAGCCAATTGCACTCCAAAAGATTTATAACTATTTGTGTATTGTTACCAAATTTTATTTATACATTTACCTGCTATTTACTGAATTAATTTGATAAACAGTGTGATGTAGATTATAGGTGATTAGGTTTTTCAGATATAATATATGTACAAGAAAAATCGACATGAAAGTGTTTTTATTTCCAAAAGTCGTATAGTCGATTATACGAGTATATATATATTGGAAGTCCAGAAGCACATGATCAAACGCAACATTCATTCATTTAATCTTACAAATTTTCAATTTCAACTTTTATTAAGAAAAATGCCAGGCTTCTCTCCAATTAAATAGTCAAAGTTCTTCTAAAAATTAAGGAATTTGGAAAGATCGGGGAATGATTCTATAGCTTTTTATAAAACTAGAAGCAATTTTTTTTGTAATTCTCATATTTTAATGAAGCAACAGGATTCATCTGCTTTGGGCAAGTCGTAAATTCTTCAGTGTTTTGGTACAAAAACTACCAGAAGTTTTCCTTGTGTTCTTGACAGTTTGTGCTGTTTGCAAAGTCTTGTAGCATTCATAGTTTTTGTATAAAAAATTTACATCTTTCCGTTTTATTGTCAATTGATAATTTTAGACATTAACAAAATTTAATTTAAGTTTTTTATAATATCGGAAGAATTCTCAAACGGATTTTTTATAAAACTTAAATTCTGGGCAATAGTTTGATTAAAGTGCCGCGCTCAACAGAAAAACTCCTAGTTTCTTCTTTTCCTCCGATTTCCGAAAAACGCAATTCGGACGAAAATGCTTCCAAAGAACGACCGGCCTGAGAGTTTGAGCATGTTTTATTTCTTACAAAAGAAGATTATCGCTTACTACAACATTTGCAGTTAATGTCTGAAATTGGTAAATAGTAGGAAAATAATTAGCACCAATCACAAGTACAAGTCACCCATCGGAACCTTCGAGAATACGAATACGTTACTACTTGTACTCGCTCAAACTAACTGCATCTAAGAACTAACTGTAACAGGTAACTGGTACAGTACAGATACCGAACCGACAGCCGCGTTTGATTTTCAAGGATCAGAACTTCTATTGGGAAAACGGTAAAAAATCTGAATACCGCTTCGAAAACTGTCTTTGCATTACATTTAAAAAGTTATTCAAGAGTATATCATATTTTTAAGTGATCTTGAAGTTTAACACTTCTATCTAAAAAACCATTAAAATATATAAACCTTCGGGACAACCGTTTAGACAGAGCGCTTTGGACCTTCATGTTTCTAATCAGACGTACTAAAATAGATCAACAAATCACCTGGAGTGCCAAAATAAGTGCGTTACCATTTTCAAAAAAACCGCTATATAAAATCCGCAAAAAGCGAAATGGAAACCCACTCCCAAAAATTATCAAATCTGAACATACACGCAGCATAAACGGTATCAAAATAATTACAACCCTGGTTGCCATATACTTCTACAAAATAAAATACAGTCCGGATCCAGACCCCTGAAATTCACTAAAAAAATTCAACGCAGTTTAGTGATTGAAATTTAGAAAAACAGCCGCAAGTCTGGATATGATCTTGATTAGCAGAAAAACTGGAATAATCAGACGGATACTGGCCGCTGAAATTCGCGAGTATAAATCGTTTGGCAAAAATAATTAATATATATATATTAATAACAGTATGAAATTTGGAAAAACAGCGCGTGGTCTAAATGGAAGGTCAGGACCACTTTCAACATTTTAATGGGCTATTAACTAGACCACCACGAAGTAATAAATAAAATTCACATACCTTTAGGCACTTTCAGGCACGTCAGGCTTCTGGGGTGTTATCAACTTGAGAAGCAGCAAAACATGAAATTGATACTAATATTTAATTCTTCAACAATAATTAAAATTACGTTCGCAGCAGAACACCCTTATTTTACGTGGCATAGACTTGACCATTTTATGTAGGAAAACTGAGCAAGAAAATTTGATATTTGTAAATCTGACCAATCTCCATTGAAGACGCAAGAACTGCTTAGTTTCGAGTGTCCTTAATAACAGCAAAACACCAATACTTAACCAATACCAAACCCAGTACAGAATCCAAAAACTCTCTCCTCGTTCTACGTCGAATAAATATGACTCGCTCAATTTAGCAATTTTTCTTCGCTCGCGTCATTGCCAGTAGCTACGAAATATCTAACTTGATTTCGACACGTGTTCACCTCTAAGTCGTTTAGTAGATTTTCATAAAATTTGGACTTTTATAGCTTCAGATGTAGTTAAAACAATGCCTGAATGACAAATCCACATTCCCGTTCGGTCTTCCTCATATTTTTCTTTGCTCGCACCAGTAACAGAGCCCGAATAGTTAACGCGTATAGCGCATAAACACTAACCATATCCCGCAAGTTAACATATTTCTTCAGGACTTCTCGAAAACGGTGAGAGATTTTCTATCTATCTATATATCTAATTAGCCTTCTTTGATCCATCTCATTATTTTATTATATTATACATAGGCCTCCCCAATCCATCTAGTTCCAGAGTGCATCTTCAGGTCATTCGCCCACCTCATTTGTGGTCTTCCTCTACTTCTTTTATGTTCCCAGGGGCTCCAGTTTAGAATACATGTTTCCATGTTCCATCGTCCGTCTTTTTGTCTGATATTGTGACCGGCGAATTTCCATTTTATTTTTGCTAGGTATCTCTTTTTTAACATCGCTTACTTTTGCTTCATTTCTTATCCACTCGTTTCTCTTTATATCTATCAGTTTTACGTGTAACATTTGTTTTTCCATTGATCCTTGTACTTTTGTTACTTTAGCCATATTTTTCTGTGTAAGTGTCCATGTTTGGAATCGATAGGTGAGGACAGGGAGTGATTATATACTTTTCCTTGAGGTATTGTGCATATTATTATTTTTTAGGATGTTGCTCAGTTTGGCAAATGCTGTCCAACCCAATCTAACTCGTCTCTTGATTTCGACGGTCTGGTTGTTGAGTTTAAGACTTGGTCTATTTTTTTCTTGCCCCATTCTGATTGTGATGTCTTCACCAGTGTTCTTCATGCTTTTGGCTTTTTCGTAGTTCATATTAATACCGATATTTTTAGCTGCCGTGTCCATTTCTCCCAGCATTTCCGTCAGTTCTTATTTCTTATCTGTTATTAAGGCGATATAATCCGCGTATCTTAGGTTGTTCATGTATTATCCACATGTTTTTCTATCTTTTTTATCCCAGTCTAATGTTTTAAAGACTTCTAGGGCCTGGTTAAAAAGTATAGGTGATATTGGGTCGCCCTGACTGACACCTCTTGTTATGTGTAGTGGTCTTGTTCCCTCATGGATTTTAATTCTTGTTGTTGCTTCGTTATATATGTTGGTTGTAAGGTCTGTGTATCTGTAGTATCTTGGGATATTAATTTTCGGACTTCTCATTGCCCAGTATTCAACACTATCAAAAGCCCTTTCGAAGTCGATAAACGCAATATATAGTGGGATGTAATATTCGTTGGCTCTTTCTATTAGGATTTTGATTGTTAATAGGTGGTGGTCACTGGTGCTGAAGCCCTTTCTGAAGCCGACCTGTTCTTTCGATTGGTATCCGTCGAATGTTGTTGTTAGTCTAGTTGTTGGTCTTTTTGCGAAGAGCTTATAAACTGCATTAAGGTTTGTTATGGATTCATTCCAGTTGTTTGGGATTCTTTTATCTTTTAGTATTTTATTTAAGAGAGTATGGGAGTATCAATCACAGTTTTTCCATTATACGTTATCATTTCTGCCGTTATTCCGTCTTTTACAGGTGCTTTGCTACTAATCATATTGGTCAGTGCCCTCTTTGTTTCCGACATGCTTTGCGATATACTGATTCCCTATTTTCGGGTTGCAGTTTTGAGTTTACGTTCTTTATTCTATTTTACAGTTGTTTTATGATTTATTCCGGTGGTTTCCTTTTCGTTTGGTATAGTTCTATATAAAATAGTTGTATGATATTTATGATATCTCTGTAATATTCGTTTCTACGCCGTTCATATCTTTTATTTTATTTATCTCATATCTACCCAATGTTGGTCAAAACGCGTAACTGACCAATTCATATTCCTGTCCTGTTCTATAACTCCTTCTATTTCTTGGATATTTCTTTTGTTTTCTGTTATCATTTTCCTGATGGTCGTATTCTACGTATTCTATTGAATTTCGTTTCCCTTCTTTGCTCATGTATTTCCCTCCATGAGTATCTTTGTCTCTGCTGTGATGCAATTTTCCTTTTGTGCTATGTCTTCCTACTCTAATCATAGTTTTTGTTAGGGTATCGTTTACATCATCTTTATTTCTATTATCGCTATTCAGGTTTTGTGTTAGTAGTTCTGTCAGTCTCTCTTTACATATAGTCTTATTTGGTCAAACTTTACTGTTGAAAAAATAAGACGAGAATAGTTTAAAATTCCCCTTTCAGTTTGAAAGTATTTTTAAAATTGACGAACCAGATCGTATTAATTAATTTCATACATTTATTTATAAGAAAAAGACAAACTATCGCCCAAATTATAATATTGTAGGCTTAAATCCTAATTCATAAAGATATAATAATACCAGGTTAGTGGTTCACTTAATAAAAGCAAAATCCCATTTTCATGAAAGTTCAAATATTATGAAGTATAATAGTAACAAAAGCTGTTATAATCCTAAGTACGTGACTTAGGAACTTATATACTCAAGCACGTAGTGTTGCGTTTGATGAGATGTAGTGTATAATTACAAAACTTTTGTAAGACTAACGACTAGATCAAGTACTTGCATAACTGGTCCGAAGTAACGCGTATTGAGTCCAGAAAGTAATTTCGGGTGTTAAAAAGTAACCGAATCTCACACCACTAGCCCGAACGTGACAGCGAAAACGCGATGAGCCGCTGTTACACTGTTAAGCTGTTGCGGACTATGTTACGTTACTGTAGTGTATTACATCGTATCTTCGTTACGCAACAACCATTGTTACGCGACAAAGTTTCGTTACTGCGTTCTGTTTTTATTTGCAATAATATTCTGTTTCATTCTGTAAATAAATATGTAAAACTAACATGGATTAAATACAAGAATAAATTTACTTTTCTTAACGTTTTATCACGCCGATTGCATTGGCAAAAATTTGAAAGTTCTTCTCCGTATAATTGTAATTATGTCTACATATTCGCTATACGTATACGTGGTTTTGTTTAAATCTAACGTATAAGCGAATGAAGGCAAATATTTTATAAACCATGTGCTATACAGGTATTCTCCAACAACGGAATAAAGTCTCCAAGCCTGCAAGAAGGTATTACAATCCTCTTGAAAACCAATTTTAATAAGGTTTAAAACCATTTTTTGGTTATTAAGATTGGTACAGTTTGTAACAAATTCAGTTTTTTTAGTTAACTAAGTTTTGTAATGAACTGAAATGATTCTAATTACTCATTGCAATAATGCGGCTGATCCTATTGAATTTGGCAAATCATTTTATTGCCATACATGTTATTCTCCCTTATCTTCTATTAGTTAATGATAGTGACACATGTAACTTTCGCTCATATAGATTATGTTTACTCTGGGGTGTCGTCATTGCGCTCCTGATAGTTATTTTAATAAATTTAATTCTATTTACTTCCTTCTTCAACCGTATAGAATTGAGATCGGGCTACCCCAAAAAAAGTCAGTGAAATATGCTTCCAATTTTTCAAAAACACAGTTCGGAGTTAAGTGATCTAGAAAATGCGGATAAATGGTCGCAATATATAAATGGCGTCTTTATCCCGAAACGATTTTTGGAAATTCAGGATAGAGTTAGTAACTGGGAAGTTAGGGAGGACGACGTGTGGATAGTTAGTTTTCCTAAAACGGGTAAGTTTTATATATGCGTGTAGCTGAGAATCTATAAAATCAAACTAAGCAAACTGTTTTAAAATGGCAGTTTAGAGTACTGAATTTTAGAAACGGTTTCTTTCATTTCCTTGGAATAGTAAACGGAAGTGATCTGTTGCCTGTTAAAAGAAGTTAAAGAACTTATTTCATCGCCAATTATACTGGAAGTCTGATGATTAATGTTGAAACAACTCAACGCAAATTTTGTCACGGTTGCTTGAGGTAGTTAATCAATATAAATAGCAATAAATATTTCAAAGCAGTAACAAAATGACACGTTAATCTGTATTAACCGGTTTGGACTACAACAGGGAATAATATCATTGTCTGACATGTAACTTAAGTTAAATAGACCTACCGAGACTTCCACAATATACAGAAGTGTTCTAACGCCACAAAAGAAAAAAAATGTGGGTTGAAAATCTATAAAACAGATAAAGAAATCTCGTATCGATTTAGTTTTATCAAAGGTCCCCTGTATGTTCGCAACCTCTATGGAATCTATAATTCCCATTTGTTTGTTGCTGCTAAATGTTTTCATCGGTATCGCGATGATATTGCAAATCCCAAACATTTTATTTATTCCTGTTCTTGATTTTTCGATTTTAATTTTTGCTACTTCATTGGATAAATGTATAATCTTTTGTGGTTAACTATTTGCTTCTTCGACCACCCTTTGCAATTCACTACTCTTATCAGGACTGTTTTCACTTATGGGAAAATAAAATTGAACTTGCAATTTAACTTGGAATCTACCAGAAAAAGGCGCGACAGTTTTAAGTCTATCTCTAACAACCGATTAATAGCTCTCATATGTTCTAGACCTTGATGAGTAGTCTGTACACTCAAAGCATTTTGCTTTCGATATCTGCAATAAACTGATGGTGGAAGAAGCACGACTCGGTAATATGGAAGTATGATTAATACATTATTAGTTCATAAATTGTCAAAAACATTGTCAGAATATGGAAACGGCAATAAATTTCATCAAATTTTCATTGAATATTGTGCATTTTGCAGCAAACTTTTGGCTGAGTAAACCGAGAGGTGCCGTATCAGCCTACAGCTGCTCTTAAAGATTCTGGTTTGTTTGTAAACTTTAGATCAATTATTTTACACACAAGTTGCGCACAATTCACTCTTGGTCAACGGGAAATATCAAATAGTTATGAAGCATTTACATGTAACCATGATAGACTACGACGTAGAGTCCGTTCTTCATTAAAAAAAAATAATTATTTAATCAAAGAAAAATATAATTACAAAAATAAATAAATAAATTTAGAGCACCATCTGAATTTCTGGCCTCCTGCATTATCAAGAACTATCTCGAAGAAGTTTGAAGTAGATCTAAGTGCAACCATAAACCCATCTTATTAAGGGGTGACTAAAGTACAATCATTAATAACTGTGAATTGCTCTCAATTAATTAAATTTTAATGCGGAAAATTCGTCGTAATTTTGCATAGAGGGTAATACAGAATCAACATATTCAGTAAAAAAATGTATTTGAAAAGAGACTATTTATATAAATGTCAATAGGTATTTATATTATCTTCACAAATAATTTAATTTTAATTTATCTGCAACATGCAGCTTTCTTGAAATTAACACTTCTTTATCTTATGTTAGTTGACCGTGAAAAATTATTCCACTTTGTCAAGTAAATTAAAGTAAAATTAAATCCAGTCTTTTTACACGATTTTCGACTAGTAGCAATTTATTAATTACTTTCTGACTTTACTATTACTAAAGTTATTGCTGGTATTAAATTTGACCTCGTTATAGAACCATAAAACCGTTACAGGTTTTCTCACCTTACATTTATTGCCATTTATCTGCGTAAATTAAAAATTAAATTTTCAGGTACAACATGGACTCAGGAAATGGTATGGTTGATTCTTAATGATTTAGATTATAAAGCCGCAGAACAGAATTTACTTAAACGATCTCCGCAACTCGAGTAAGCTTTTTTGCTAGGTATTTACTTGTTTTGCAATATGTAATTAAATAAGGAAAACAGTGATGAGCTAAATTAATATTTAACTTCATACTAGGCACAATTATTTATCTATCAGAAATTGAATAAATTATCTGGCAATTTCTGATTTTATCATTTTTTTGTTAATTTACTGTGGGTAGTGAATTTCATGTATTTTTTCCAAGTAATACATTCGAATGATAAGTTGCGATTTGCACATAATCCTAAATTGCGTCTCAATACGTGTGATTCCAATAGATTTGGCTCTCCTTTATTAATGCTTTTGAGTAATAGATTATTTTTAGGGCTAGTGCGTTAGTGCGATATCCATGGTTAAATCTGATGTGGACATGGATACCTCAACCCATAACAGATTCTCTAAAATATGTAAAAAATCAAAAAAGTCCGGTCTGTATAAAAACTCATCTGCCATGGAACCTGCTCCCAAAGGAAATTCAAAAGAAGATTAAGAAACCAAAAGTACGAAAATAACGGTTGTATTCGAAACACACGGTTTAGGTATAAGTATGCCCTTGAATCATTTAAAAACATTTACTTTTAGATTATTTATATATCAAGGAATCCTAAGGACACGTGCATTTCCTATTATCATTTTTCGAGGCTAATTAAAGAGTTTGATGGTAGTTTAGAGGAATTTTGTAACAAATTTTTGGCTGGCAATGGTAAGTACAGAATTGGTAATTAAGATAAATTCTAACTTAATATTTTTAATTGTAACCTTCTCAAATGAATTGTTATAAAAAACTGAAAGAAACTGACTATAACATGAAAACACAGCGGAAATTATCCTTAATTCTAAACCTCGTTCAACAACCTCAACGAAACACAAATATTTTGACTATGAAGGTTTTATATGAAATGATCCTGAAACATAATTTAATGATCTTTTTAAAATGTTTAAATACTAAATGCACGAAAACTCTGAAGTATAATGTTGCCACATACATATTCTAGTAATTTCTTTAAAATATCAGAAATCATCTTCGTCATGTTAGTATGATAATAAAGAATTAAACATTGAATAAACACACGCGACGACAACAGTTTGTTTACAAGTTAAAATGGATATTTTTAGGCAAATGCGCCGTCTGCCTTTTAAAAATTTGCTTCTACCGCACTAAAGGAGGTAAGAATATCAAATTTGTACCTTCTTCTTCTTCAATTGCACTATCCCTTTTGGACATTGGCTATTAATAAGGTGATTCGAACTTTATCATCGATCGGATCGACAACCAAACCACTTTTTTATATTTTACATCCAAGAGTTTCTTCTTCTACCTGGACCTCTTCTACCGTTCGCCCCTGCCCTGAAAGATAAATTGCTGAAAGCGATATTTCTTGTGCCTCATCCATGGCCGAAGTATTTCAGTTTCCTTTTCTTTAACATGAACCTGATTTCTTGCTGTTTGCCGATTCTGTTGAGTACTTCTTCGTTTGTGACGTGGTCCTTCCAGGATATTGGGAGAACACGCCGATATAAATATGTTTTTCATTCTGACAAAAGTTGTTCTTGCCTTCCCAATCCTGGATTTGATTTCTATGGCCATGTCCCATTGACTGTGAACAATTGTCCCTAAATATGTATATTTTTCAACGTGTTCCATGGGTGTTTGGTGTAGTGTAAATCTTCCTATTGGTATTAGTTGTTTACTAATGCACATCCACTTTGTTTTTGAGATATTTAGTCTAAGTCCGAATTCCTCGGATACATCGATCACCTGTAATAGACTCTGAATATCTTCAAGACTATTAGCTATGATGGCAGTGTCGTCCGCGTATCTAATGTTATTGCTGAGTTCATCAAGATAGTTATCTTTACTACCGCTGTGGCATCATGAAGCACCTCGTCAAAGATCGCTTGGGAGCATAAATTGAAAAGTGTTGGCGATAGTATGCATCCTTGACGGACTCCTTTTTTGATCTGAGTGTCTTCCGCTAATTCCTCGGCAATTTTTATCTTTGCAGATTGATCCCCGTATGGACTTGTTATAATGCTATTCTAATATCTTTAGAGTCTAGACCTGTAGTTTTAAGAAGAAAGTTTTAAAAGAATTCCACAAGTTTTCCGTGCTTTACGTTGTCGAACGCTTTTGAAAAGTCAATGAAACATATATATACATCTCGGTTCATGTCTCTGCACCTCTGTATAAGCACCTGTAAGGATCAAACCGATTCTCTGGTGTTGAAGCATCCGCTGAACCCAAATTGGGTCTCGGTCATCCTTGATTCACATTTTGCACATATACGGTTATGTTGGTAAATATTTTTGTTACGATGTTAATTAAGCTAATTTAGTCTATAATGGTCACAAGTTCTTGCTCGTGGGTTCTTGAGGGTAGTGATAAATACTGGGTTGGTATGGACGAATGGTCGTGAGGCAATTCACAGCAGTCATATATCTTGTTGAACAGTGGTATCAGAATATTCATGAGTTGCGAGTCTATTTAAGTCATTAGTTTAATAATCTCAGCGTGAATGTCGTCTGGGTCTTTATTGTTTTTCATGGATAGAATGGCTTTTACGATCTCTTCTTTTATGATGGGGGACCTGACATTTGTTCTTTAGCATTTATGCAAATTTTTAAAAGAGTGACTCTATATATAATTTCCAGACTTTTAGTAACTCCTATCAGCTACTATTTTTCCATTATTTACTATGTATTGTGGTGCCTTGTTTCGTGATGTTCTTAATTTGTTTGTACATGTTATGGTCGTCATACTTTCTTTCAAGTTCTTAGATTTCTTCACACTTCTCTCCCAGACATTTATCCTTGCCTTCCCTTATCTTTCTTCTCATGGTTCTGTAAATGTGACGATATTTATCTGGATCCTTATTTTTGTATTTTCTTCTGGTGACCATTAGTTGCATAATTTTATCTGTGATACCATACCATACCTTATTTTTATTGTATGTTCTTTACAGATGTTCTTCGCATGTATTCCTATAATCTGCTTAGTTTTGTTCCACTTGTGTACTGGATCTTCATCTGATGCTGTCATGTTCAGCATTTCTGTTTTAAGTATTTTCGCAATCAAAGTTCTCGTGTTATCGTCTCTAAGTTGTGCTAATAGTCAGCAGTCTCGGCACCCATCGTGCGAATAGCTTTCTCATATTCAAATATTTATGTAAGTTGTGATTTACCCTCTCAGTTGAGGTGCCTACAGCCTCATCTACCTCAAACATTTTTATTCTCCGATCGTCCAGTATCGTTCCATGGATTTTATCGACCATTTCTGGCGTAACGACCTCTTTTGGACGACCTGAACGTTCGGCGTCATTTGTGCTGGTTCGACCACAACGAAACTCAGTGGGCCACTTCTTAACCATTGAAATTGATGATGCAGAGTCCCCATAGAATTATTCAGCTATTCCTTCGTTTTTTTGATAGATTTTTAACGTAAAAAATAATGCCTGATCAGCACTCGGAATACACTTTTTTCCGTATTCGTCATCTCCTTTCAATGACTGTTAAACACGAAGTAAATGACACAGCGAGCTTAAAATTTCACAGCAGTCTACTAACAGACGACAGTGGAAATTCAAAAAGTCACTGACTTATTAAACTACCCTCGTACCATTGTGTGAGAAAAACGGTTCGGTGATATTTTCAACTATTTTTTAAGTGAATTATACTTTTAATTTTGTAGCCATATCTTAAGGTAATTATCTGCATGCAATGGAATGTAATCATTATTTTAGCGTCGGAAATATTCACGTTGCTAACAGTATTCAGCTTCGACAAATTTACTCATATTTGGAAACACACCATTTCATACGACGTTTCTCCATCCAAAACATGAATCGAGAGGCCACATTCACATCGAATTCGATAAAAATAATAACGAGTAGCTCTGTCTGTCTGCAATTTTCTTATTTTAAGGATTTGTCTTGAAAATAAGTTTCGGTTCAGCACCATTTCACATTTATGGTTCAGTTTATCGAAAGTCTGATAGCAACAGCAACAACTTTCATGAACAAATTCTTTCAAATATTCTATAGTGCCATTCTTCTCTGTATTAATTATTAAACGCTTTTATTTGAGTCAAAGTCCAACATCTTTATAAGACAATGAAAATACGAGTACATCATCTACTCTGAATTGAATACCGATTACGGAAACCCTAACACGAAATGCGGTTTTGCGGTACGGTTTTGTGGCAATGAAATTGTTACCTCGAAGGAAAATGTAACTGCAACGAAATTCACTGGAAAAACTAATTTGAAATTTTATTACACAATTCTGCTGAAAAGGTAAATTAATAAAGGTAATAAATAAGTACAGGTTTACGAAAATCGATTAACTGTTTCACGTGGTTAGGTGGAAAACGCTACGTAGACAAACACTTAAATATTAATTTGGTTGACAGTATTCAGTTATTCAAATTTCAGCATTTAATGAGAAACGTTCTATTGTATTGAGTTATTACCATATAAAAACATACGAACATTAACTTTGAGATGACACCATTTTTGAACAGGATATATAAAACAAGATATATTTGAGTGAAATTGAAAGTAAAAATTAATTACACATGAAATCGTTTAGACAATTTGATCAGAAGTATTCAAAAGAAAAATGCTTACTTACAAACCATGAATAATTTGATTAAGCAATTAATGACAAAGCAGTTTGAGTATGTAACAAATAAATATGAATTGATGATAATGTGATGATAATATGAATGAATGATAAAAATTAATAGAAATCACATCAACAATGTTAGATGTGCAGGCGCCACGGCCCTTGTGCCTGCACAAAACCTGCTTTATAGAATTCAACAACATTCATTCCAATATGGTCTAAACGTAAACGCATCTAAACCCAAATACCTGGTATCGAAGAAAAGAACACAAAAACCCTTAATAGCTAAAAATGATGCTGTCGAAAGAGTACGTAGATTCAGTTACTTAAGGAGAACCATGCACGACACTTGGGATTACGTTGCAGAGAAAAAATTTCGTATTCTGAAATTCTGGCTGAAAAAGCCAGAATCGCATTCTTCCAGATGAAAAACTTATCCGTTGCCAAAGTTCTAGGCTTACTTTTGCAGATGCGAATGTTAAGATGTTATATGTTTTCCATAATGTCATATGGAGCTGAACCATGGACAATTAACGAAACCATTAGCAGGAAAATTAATGGCTGACATTTGGCTATACCGTCGCATACTTAAAATATCCTAAACAGAACAGATGACCATCAAACAGGTCCGAGAAAGAATTAATAAAAATATACAGCTCGAATAGACCTTGAAAAAACGCAAATTGGAATACCTCGGTTATACCTCGGAGGCAAGGAATACCTCGGAGGCACAACAAATATTGGCTCCTACAACTAATACTACAGGGTAAGCTCGAATCCAAAAGGAGCCCAGGTGGCCGACGCCACTCTTGAATGAGAAACTTGTGTTTTTGAAAAAACCGGTTTGGCCTCAGTTCAGGTCGAACGAGTTGCAGGAACCGAAGGATATCGAATAATTAACTACGTTTCCACCTTGGCGCCAAACAACAAATGCCGAAAATCACAATTTAGTAAAACAAGAATGCTTAAATAGTACGGGTTTGCAGATCTACTTACCACGTGGAAAGATGAAAAAACAAAGCGAACATAATTACTTTATAATAGTCAAATGACAGTAGACAAAAATTAAAATGGTTTTATAGGAACAAACTGCTACCTTTTGATGTGGTTAAATAATACAAGTGAAACCATAATAATACCCTATCTTTTTATGGCTTTACTTTGTTTCATTGCATCAAAGCGAAAAAAAAAACGACAATAAAAGAATGTTAATATGTAAAATTACAAGTAAAACTTCTTAGTCTACACAAACTCTTAAGGATAATAGAATCAAACATTTGCAAAGAAAGAGTTTTGCATTGTATATCTAAGAAAGAAAGCGTTTTTAAAATAATCACACGATAAAATATTATTCATATCAACAGTTCAGGGAAAGACCCCCTATACGTTCCTACTGTATGATACAGCAACACTAGGTATAACATAATAAAAATATAACAAAACATTACTTAAATAATAAAATATGTATTATCAAAAATAAAACATAAATACCATTTTAACAGAAGAGTACTATTCAAATAAAAATGGATTCAGAACAAGGTAATTCTTAACACATAAATCATATGAGTACATAAATCCTAATGTATGTTATATTTCCGTCTATATTGCTATATGTAAAAAAACAGACACTGTTTATTTTCATTTAACGTTATCAAATTTTCTTTGACAATATGACTTTTTAAGATATATGTTTATGTAATTTAACAGCATATCAAATTTCTTTTAAGAAAAATTTCAAAGTTATATTTTTCGTTAATTTTTTCGGCAATTTAAATAATTCGTCAAATGTCCATATTTTCGTATTTTGCAATAATAAGTTTCCATCATAAACGTTGAAAATTTTATATTTTTCTACCAATTTCAAGTAAGTAACGCAATTTGAGGAAAACTTTTTGAACAAAATCACTGGTACTTAAATAGATAAAACTTAAATATGAGATGAGCTAATAATGAAAATAGACTACAACAAGGGGATAATTATAATGGTACAAAGTGTAATCAATTGAGTATTTAAAGTACAGCATACAATCTATAAAAAGTCGTTAAAATTGAGCATTTACATTTTGCGGTATCAAATACATAAATGCGACAAATCCAAAAACTCCTTATTTTGTACAGAAAAGCGTTAGTGAAATTAGAATTGAATTAAAATATTAAATGAACGCTGAAATTAATTAATTGAAAGTAGGATGGGTTAGGACACGTTAATGTTTGAGATTTTTATTATTTTGCTTTAACTTTGAATTTTGTTATGAATTTTTTAGGCAATTGCCCATCAGATTTATCCTTACTTTCCTCAAACAGTAGCACTATATATCAAGTTTTAGATGTTAGAGAAAAACGTTTTTAAATGGTTTTATATATATTTAATCTACTTTCACATATCGGAAAATATGTCCTGTTTAAGAATGGTTTAATATTCAAAGGTGATCTTCAAATAGTTTTTGTTTGACAATAATTCAATGCAAAACAAGACTTTTCATTAGCAAGTACATATTGAAATGTAAAGAGTTCCAAATTTTAATAGAAAGCAATTAGAGTTTTATAGTATTTTTCAAATATTTGAAAATGTTTCACACCAAAAAGCATTAAAATCATAAAACCAAATTCACCAAAGAAAAATTTTACTCAATAGTCAAATATCATATTACTAATAATATTTTCTGCTAGAAACCATTTTCTTTAATAGCACCGGAAAAAAGCTGTTTTGCCTAACTTGCGTTCTTGCCACAATCCTTAAAAAAACGTGCTAATACTCTAACAAATTGACTGGTGGTAGTTAAAAGATTACTTTCATGTCGGCTTTTATCAGCAAGGTAATGGTCGTTATATTGCCAATTTGATGACATAACACCAGAACCTTGTACTACGCCATGCCATAAAACGCCTAACAATTGATAAACATGAGCTTCGAGCAAAGTGTTATTTGGCACATTTAATATTTGCTTAATTTATATATCAGCTAATTTTTGTTTTCAGTCAACTTTGCCCCCTTTTGGAACCACGTACTGCCGTTTTGGAAGCGACGCAACGATTCAAACATTTTATTCCTGAAATTTGAAGAACTAAAACAGGATCTACCGGGTGCTATTCGGAAAACTGCCACATTTCTTGGAAAAGACGTGAGCGCAGATCAAGTGGACCAATTAGCAAAGCACTTGAGCTTTGAAAGCATGAAAATAAATCCGGCGGTTAATTACGATTGGCTGGTAAAGTTGTCGAATTTGTACAAACCTGATGAAAGTAATGCATTTATGAGACAAGGAAAAGTTGGAGGATTCAAAGATGCATTAACGCCGGAAATGATAATAAAATTCGACGAGTGGACAGAAGAGTGTATTAAGGGAACTGGATTAACTTATCCTTAGGACTTAAACAGGAAAGAATTTGCCATTTAAATTTTTGCCAATCAATTATCAAACGTGTAATAAAGGAAGGTTCATTAAATAAAGTATTACATTGTTTACAAAAATCACCATTTTGGTTTTACTATACAATACAAAAATGTGATTCTTTGCAGCACTTATAATTTGCTACGCCGTGCGATATTGCCAGCTTGTCTTTCTATACTGTTGGACGCTAATATGTTCTCAAAATCTCGCATGCAGTATGTGATGGTCTCATACTACATATGTGTATATGTATAATTGATGGTTAAAGGTTTCCTCACCTTAAAGGGCCACTAATAATTTTAAAAGATAGACAGGCTACATGTTGTTCTACGACTCTATTAACAATTCAAATATTTTTGACACAATGTAATCTAACAAATAGACTTAATTAATTGGATTAATTAACAACTTGACTAAGCTGCATTAAAAATTGTATATGGTAGATATTAACGGAAATCTGCACAGAATAGACTTGGGTAACACTGTGTTGAGTTGCGCTTTTGTGTGTTGCAACTCTCTGAGTTAGTGAGTTATAATAATTTATTGAAGCGGATTAAATCTTTACGAGACCCGAGATTTGAATTTTAACATATAAAAAATAACGGACATCAAAATTTTTTATGAGAAACGTTTCACCACTTAGCTCAAAAAAATAAGAAAAAGTTGCGTCATTTTTTATAAGTAACCTCTTTCCAGCAACGGATCTGAGTTACTCCGCCGGTCCATTGGGTTAGCGTACCAAGTGGAGGAGGAGTTAGAGTTAGGAGTTAGGAGGGAAAAATCACTGAGTTCTCCAGGCCTACAACAGAACCTTCTTACTATTACAGAGTCGTACTTCTTTTCCAAAAGTGGTAACTCTTCGTACGTGTCATTTTCAGGCTAAAGCGTTCGCAAGAAAACTCATACATTTGAAACCGATCCGGGGTTTCTGATATTGTTGCAAGTCGCCTGCTTTACAGAATTAGAACTTATATACATATGAATATTTTACTAGCAATAAATATGGTGTATACATGTATAGACATCATGTTTGCCATAAGTCGGAAGAAATCCCTGGAATCATAAACACCCTAAAATCTATGAAAAGAAATAAGGCTCCAGATGAAGATAACGTCATAATAGAGATGATGGAAGAAGCTGCAGAAATAATAGTCCCAAGGCTAAAAAGTGTATTCAACTATTGCCTAGAACAAAAGCAACATACCAGAAAGTTGAACAATGCGTTGGTCGTAATATAATCCAAAAAAGGTGATGCATCATTACTTCAAAACTGCAGACCGATCAGCCTGCTCTCACATATGTATAAGTTACTTACAAAAATCATTGCTCGCCGGTTATCGCAAAAACTAGACGATTCTCAACCATTCGTCCGGAATGGGTTTAGTAGTTACTGACGACCATCTCCTCACAATCAAAATTTTAATAGAGAAATCAGTCGAATAAAATTTCCCCCTGTACATGGTCTTCATCGATTATGAGAAGGTATTCGACTCTATTGAACACTGGGCACTAACGCAAGAACTCAACCATGCACGAATTGACTCTCGATATAGTAAATTGATTAGGAGCAAATACCAACATGTTAGAGCAAACATTAAAATGCACGATTGTACTAACAGCTTCCCGATCGAGAGATGTATTAGACAGGAAGATACAATATCTCCTAAACTATTTACTTTGGCACTCGAAGGCGTTTTTAAAAGGGTGGACTCGTCGGGTAAAGGACTAAATACTAATGGCGAAAGACTAAATCATCTAAGATTTGCAGACGACGTTGTTCTTTTCGCGGAAAACGACGAAGACCTATAATATATGAGCAGAATTAGAGCAAACATCAAAGAAAATAGGACTTAAAATCAACCTAAGACAACAAAGACAATGTGTCAACAAGACCCACAAATAACTGTAAATAGAACACGGATAGTCTACGTCAGAGATATATATATATATCTTGGATAAAGTGTAAAAATGGGAAAACAAAATAAAGATATGGAAGTAGAGAGAAGACAACGTTGGGATGGGTAGCATTCAGAAAATTAGCTTTCACTCTGAAAAACAAAAAGATACCCCAGCACTTGCGATCCAAAGTATTTGACCAGTGTATTCTCCTTATCATAACCTATGGAGCTCAAACCTGGACCTTCCCAAAACAAATAATAACAATACTGGAAGTGACACTAACTATGGAAATGGCAATGATTGGTATCTCGTTAAGACAAAGTAGAAGAAACGAATGGATCAGGCAGAGAACTAAAGTAACTGACATAACAACAAGAATAACACAGTTGAAATGGGACTATCCCGACCACATAGCTCGCATCAAGGACACTAGTTGGACCGCTAGGATGATCAAGAGGAGACCATGGGCAGGAAAGAGATATAGAGGTCGACCAATAACTTGATGGTATGACGATATCAAGAGATCAGCCAGACTACCATGGATAAGAATCGTACAAGATAGGAATAGATGGAGAACGGTAAGGGTACGTGTAACCGTGAGAACACCCGCCTTTACTTATGATTAACATAACTACGAGTCGGTAGACTGAGGGCTAAGATACAAAAACCTGAAAACTAGCTATGAAAATGCACATTTCGAAAAATATTCGAAAGGTCTCAACCCCCAGTAACAACCGCGAGGACACAGAACGAAAAAGGAACTAAAAAATTGGAAAAACTAAATACGACAAAACTAAATAAACTAAATAAGCCCAAAAGAAAAGGGGTATATTATAGTGAGCAGAAATATTTCAAAGCATATTTTTACTAGAGCATGGTCATCATGAAAACTTGAGAAGGTCAGAGATTCTCCACCTATGTAAAAAATGGGTTTTTGCTGATTCTAGTCGAGGCTAACAAGTTTAAAACCAGGAAGACGGAAAGTTTAAAATATGTTACAGTAAAGGAAAGAAAAGTGATTGAATTATAATGAATGATGAATAAATATTTAGACACATAAGTGTTTGAATGAAAATTGATAATTGAATGCAGAATTTTATATCTTTAATTAAGGTAATAAAATGAAAATTTGTAATGTGAGGTGGTTCATGTGAAGCACACTTTTAAACAACTCACCTAATTTTATCAGTTACTTGAGTTCTAAGCATCCATGTAAGAAAAACTTGTCTAATGAAAAGCATTATTATTTAAACATTAAAGTTTATTCTTGTCAGTACGTTTTGGGAAATGGTTACTTTACTCGTCCTTGTATTACGCCTTTTATGTGATTTGAATGAAATGAAGTGCGGGTGGCGCTTCAAAATAGACAAACAGACAAACTAAAACAGAATTAATTTCTAAATATTGATGTGTTTATTTACTTAGTAGATACTGAAATCTGAGTGTTGCGTATTCTTCTGAATCCAGTGGTTGAATTCGTCAACTAAATCAGGACTCATGTCCGCCTTATAGCTGCCAACAATTCCTGATCTCATAAAAACAGTATCATGTTCAGACAGTTTGTATTTTTTAGCTACTTGTGTAATGGTGTCTTGGTTCACTGCAGAGTTATTCTTCATGTTCTCAAAGCTGAGGTGTTTGGCTAAAATCTCAATTTGTTCGGCAGTGAGTTTCTTTCCCAGAAATATTGCAGTTCGTTCTGTAACTTCCGGTAGATTCTCCTTCATTTCCTCATAGGTCAAGAAAAGTACGTTATCCTGGTTCCGTTTATTCCAAAATGGTATGACGTGATTCCAATATGGGGCAAATGATACTGAAATTTTAAAGCATTTACCTCCAGACCCTAGATTTTGGTATATGCATACATTTTCCTGCTAGAAACAATTTTGCGAAATCGTTAAAATTTCCAGTATATCCCTCCAGCAACTTGGAATGATGAAAGTAGGACACACAAGCGTCTTTCGGATTTCGGGAAATGTAAATAATCTGGAATATTCAACATAATGAAAATTCTTTTGAGGGATGGTTTTCTTTAGTACCTTTGGTTTCTTCACTCCAGTTTGTATGTCTTTAGGCAATAGATTAAATGGTAAGTGTGTTTTTATGCAAGCAGGACTTTTTTGATTTTTTACAAACTCTACAGAATCCTGCAGGTATAACGGCACTTCGAAACCTTTAACATCTCGCATATGTTGTCTAAAGTCGAAGATTGCAGACAACCTACAGAAAATATAAATATTTGAAATATGTTAAAATAAATTAACACAAACAAAAACTGCTTCGTGGTTAAAATTTAATTTGCTTACTCCAAAAACGGAGATCGGGCACCTAAATTAACACGCCCTTCTTCAAAGTTCAGATTGTTCATTATCATCCACACCATTTCTTGAGTCCATGTCGTGCCTGTAATATAAAATCTACGTGCTAAAGTTTCTCAGAAAAAAAGAAAAAATCTCTCAAAGAAAAATTCGATTTATTGAGAAATTAATTATCTCAACTTGATCCCGACTAGTAACGCTTTCGACTAATGCGCGTTTTTATGATACCTAAGTCTAATATAAGGACGAATAATGTTCATATGTACCGAAACGTAAAGATGAAATAAAAAAAAGTGAAAGTAGAAAATTACAGTTCGATAATAAAATGAAAGGACAAAAAGTAAGTGAGAATCTACCCGTTTTTGGAAAACTGCATATCCATACATCTTCTTCATGTACATTCAAATTATAGATTTCCTTTTGCATGTCTCTGAACCTCAGCGGCATTGTAACTCCATCAACATTGATATGTCCTTTGCGGAAACTATTTGTAAAGTGTTTCTGCAAAATATTGTCCAATCTCCTATTTTCGGACACTTCTATCATATTGATAACCGTATTTACACGCCCAACGACTTTCGATTACGATACACAAATACAATCAGAAGAAAACTGTTATTTGTAGAATAATCTCAATTATTTATACCGACTATTCCCTACCTGCTTACGTATTTTAACTGCGTATAAATTGTTTTGTTTCTGCGATTTTTTACCTTATTTCGAGAAACCGCATTTAGATGAAATCGTTGACCTGACCTCATAAAATAATATTAATTATTATAATATATATTATAAGGACATTAAGTCTGATAATGTCTTTACAGAAAAAACACTTAGTGAGTTTTGTATTTGTTACTTGTATTTTATTTTATATATTTGTTGAGAACAATAGGATTTAACAAGCGATTAAGTAAAATGTGTAAAAGAGGATTAAACTTAAAAAACGGGGGGTTGAGATACACGTTTAATAAGAGATTTTGATATGGTTCATTAATTCCTCCGTGAAAAGGAATTAAAAATAATTTTCGACTGAACCAAGGACGATGAAGTTCTTGGAGGTATCTAAAATTAAGATCAATCTTTATAATGGCAGAGGTTTCATCGTATTTTCGACATAGGTACTTTCTTTTCTTGCGTCCTAAGTTCTTACCAGCAACTAAGCACAAAATCCTTCAGTTCTGTTTTCTGAAATATCCGAAGCAAATTAACTGGTGGCCTCCAAGTATTGGATTCAATTATATATTTTTTTGGAAATTGGACTCGTTTTGTCACACTAACTATTATAAAGGAACAAGGTTATTAAAGTGAGCGATAGAATTAGTTGGGCTCAGTTGAAAAATGTGTCGGGTGGGAAAACAAAATATGAAACCTTAAACATTTGATATTACTCTGATACCAGCTAATACAATTGCAATAATGCGTGTCTATGACAGCAAACTAAATCGCTTCTTTTTTAACTATTTTATAGCAAATTGCGCTTTTGAACTGAGAGCTGACGCCAACAAAGAAAATAAATCAGCAATAATAAATTAGTGTGTTAAATTCTTCCGCACAGTGATTTAACATAAAATAAAACTAAAATAACACGAAGAAACTAAGAAGAAATCAGAAACCTACCAGTTTTTGGAAAGCTGCAAATCCATACATCTTCCTCATGCATATTGAAATTATCAATATCGTTTTGTAAATCTCCAAATCGCATCGGCATTGTAACCCCGTCAACACTGATATACCCTTTACGGAAACTGCTAGTAAAGTATTTCTGCAAAACACTTTCCAGTCTCATATTTTCCACAATATCTATGGTCTCAATGACCATGGTAGCAAACTCAACTAGTTTCGAATTTATGTCTGGACTAAAGTTATATTTTACCTACAGTTCAACATAGAGTTTCAATAATTTATATAGTTACGCATGTTACTGATAGTTAAAACAATTATTTTCCCCCGATATTTTAAATGCAATAAAATCCACAGTATCAGTCCTGAAATAGAGCCTTAATAACATTTTCATAAATTATAAATATAATTAATTGTGGACACGTGTACCTAATATATCAAGAATATCATTGTAGCCACATTCTAACCCTCATGGACCCGTGAAGACCGGCGAAGAACAAACCTGACAAATATAAAAAAGTACAGAAGGTCATAAGAAGGGAGACCAACGAAGCCAAGCAGAGATGGATAGAAAGGGAACGTGCAGAAATGTAAGGCCTCTGGTACAAACATGATACTTTCAATATGTACAGAAAAGTAAAGGAAGTAACTGGAGTCTAAATGAAGAGAACGACTCACTTACAAATGATCGTAACGAACTAATTTTGGAGGAACAAGAACTAAAAAACGCATGGATCAGTTAGGTAGAGGCCAACTTTAGAGATTATAGAGCTGATGCGGTATACGTGCATGAGGACATGGACATATTTTTAAACCCGAGGAGATGATTGCATTCTCTATGGCAAAAAATAGGAAAGTATCTAGCCCTGACGAGAAACTATATCATTTAAAAGTCCTCCACGGGACCTCCTACAGTCCTCGATCCTTTTGAGGTAATTTTGAATTACTTTTCGGCACATTACCGGTAATATCTCGGTCATAACTTCACGGATATTGGCTTTCAGTTGCTCAAAATTTTGAGGATTGTTGGCGTAAACACGATCATTCACATAGCCCCACAAAAAGAAATCTAACTATGTTAAGGCGCATGATCTTGTGGGCCAATTGAAATCAGTCAATCACGAAATTACGAGTCCTGGAAATTTATCTTGCAATATGACTCCAACTGCCAGTGTTTTGTGACTTGCTGCCTCATCCTGCTGGAACCACATGCTTTCCAGATCATAATCTTCAATTTCTCTCCAAAAATAATCGGTTAACATGCGTTCATAGCGCTCAGAATTGACCGGTACGGTTCTTCCTTGATCGTTTTTAAAAAAATACGGGCCAATAACACCACCGGACCATAATGCACAACATGTAGTCACTTTTTCAGAATGCAAATGCCTTTCTGCGATCACCTGAGAATTTTGAGAGCCCCATATACGGCTGTTCTGTTTATTCACGTAACCACCAACGAAAAATGAGCCCCATCGCTGAAGAAAATTCGGTTCAAAAAATCATCATTAACGGCTTGTTGTTCAATCACCCAATTTGCGTATGTTCTGCATTGCCCATGGTATTGAGGCTTAAGTTCTTGCGTCAGTTGGACTTTGCACGGATGGAGCTGCAAGTCCAATTGCAAAATTCCCCACAATAAGCCGTAAGACAAGTCCAAATGTTGAGCACGTCGGGGAATCGACGAAGTCGGGTCTTCCTCCACACTTTGAGCAACAACAGCGATATTTTCAGCTGAACGAATGTTGCGATGATGCACAGTCCTTACAATAGCAGTAACCGATCCAGTCTCTTCAAATTGTTCCACTGTGCTCGAAATTGTTTGCTCTGTGGGTCGATTATGTCGACCTTAATCTGCTCGCAAAGCCCTAAACGTTGATACAGCAGAATCACCATTTTTATAGTAACATTTAATAATTTTTACGCGTTCTTCGACAGTTAAACGATCAATATTCCAAAATGGCACAGTTTTGATTTGTGAATTTTGTATTTATATAATTTGTTACAATTTGAAATAAAGTAAATAAATAAATATAACAATATCTTCACATTCTAGTTATCTTAGTCGTATTCTCAAATAACTGGAAGAATAAAATCATGTTGGAAAATTTGCTCTCAGTTCAATAATATTTTAAAATTTGTAAGGATTATTACTAAAATGTATAGTGCCCCAACGATAAACTAAAGTAAGTTTACTTAGCCAGTACTAAGCGCGCATATTTTAAAAATATTCACAATTAAACAAAATGCGTTAAAAAAGTTACAAGCAGAAAAGAACTTTTTCTAATGCAATACGCTATATTCTATTTTATTATTGCATTTTTAAGTAAAATTAATTTTTTAGTTATGTATAATAATTGTCTTCTTATAACGATGAACATCCGTTTTTTATTTCATGGTTCTGATAAATCGACAACTTCTCCGTCATCTTTAGACGCAACATTTTAAAATTTGGCTGTAGAAAAAAATTATCTATATTAATATTTGGTTTGAAAATATTTGCTTTTTAAACCACAAGACGCTCATAATATTTTTTCAGCTTAAAGTATTTGTCAAGCTAAGCATTGAAAAATCTCACTGTTATTTTCATCACTATTAAATACGTCAAATTGAATGAAGAGTATGACCACGCTGTACTTTTTCAATGACATGTATTTTTTTAGACGCTCAAACCAAATAACTAAGAAACTACAGACGAAACATGGTAATTCAAAATTTAAATTAAAAGAGGAATCGGTGTGTACACACCGGATGGAATTAAAGAATCGGTCTTTTTGTTTTACCCATGGTTATTACAATTTGTAATAATTAAGAAGCAACTTTTTTACTTATAATTAGGCAGATTTCGTTGAAAAACATTTTTGTCATCGTTCTGATCTAGTTTTTTGCAAATATCTCACATAGTAACACGAATTTGTTTTTTTACTATTTTTCCTGCGCTCCCAAAACACCCCCACACAACACCTCTAGAGGAATTACGCCAATCTTCAATTACCCTGTTTAATCAAAAGAAATTGAAACTTACATATAAATTCAACTGACCAACTTTTCTGACGCACTATGTATAATTGTGAATATTTTTACAATATACGCGTTTAGTATATTTACAATATCACCATAAGAATTTGAAGCAAATAATACCGGTTAAGCGTAAACTTGTTTTACTGTATCGTTGGGACATCCTGTAGAAAGTAATCGGTAAACATTTATTGATAAAAACTGGATAATATAAAAATATCTACACGGTACATAAGACAGTAGTTAAAAGCAAAACAAATTAATCTCACGTAGAAAATATGCATGCAGCTTCTCGTGCTCTGGTAAACATATATGGTTTAGTCAACCATAGTTAACGAGAAAGTCTAACAGCCTTTGGCAATTGCTTTCTCCAATATCTAATTTATAAAGCTGCACTATCCATGACAGCATCCGGTATCGACTGCAACAAGTCAAGAAATGCATTTCTAATGGAAAGGGACATTGCACGGAGAAAATGTGCAATCTCGTGAAATGCAATAGGAAAGTATTCGTCGCACGGCTTTACGCAGTCAAACCGCGAATTCTAAGTTCCATTATCGTGTTTTCCTAGTTTTTTGCCAATAATTACAATAATGCCTGAAAAATTTATTTTGAAAGCCTTTACTGGTAAGAGTGATGTTAACGGACTTGAAAAAAATGAGGCTGTGGTTGGTCAAACAATGTTGCCTCCATATTACTCCCAGTTTTCCCAACGAGTGCTGGATGCTCCAGTTAAAGAAGACGATATATGGTTGGTTAGTTATCCCAGGACTGGTTAGTATTACGTATACGTGTATTTTTAAATAAGCGTTCATTTAGTTGATCCGGATATGCACATAGTGATTTTATTTATCAAAAACAGTTATTTAGCAATGATTGGTAAAAAAGAAAAAAATATATTATTTACGGCGTAGAATGTATTTGTTTGTATGTTTGTTCATTCCTGCATTGTTCCTGCATGTTTGTTATTTTCAAGAGATGCCACTAAGTAGTAAAATGTAACAAGCTTTCGAGAATTATATAAATATTGGAAGACAAAAGGAATAACGCACTTTCGTTCAACGTTGTCTCTAGTTATATGTTTACCGGTGGATGTTAAGCAGCACGTCTTGCACATAAAGTTGTTTTTTAAGCAAAGATTTCTCAAGCAGAGTGGTGTTGGATTTATAGTTTCGGAATATCTTCCAAAAATGTAACCGAAAAGAATTATGAGTAAAATTTAAATATCATCAAGCTGTTCATCAATGCTCATTAAGGAGCTTTCCTTCGGGGCAAAAATTATGTTAAATTTTTGTTGAAATTAATTGATCTTAATCGAATTAAAGTTTAATTTTATTAAACTATTAAAGCTATTTAATCTATTAAGCGACATAATAAAGAAATGTTTCTTTACACGTTTTCAGGTTTGATATAAGGTAATTAAGTTGAAGGTGCGAAGGTAGCATGTGGGACAATGATGAAATAAATTGTTATTATTATTATTATTAATTCTAAATAATTAAATCGTCATTATTTAGACGTTTCGACCGTTATTTGAGTCTTTTTTAAGTAAAAAAATAAATCTATTACTCGATAAAAAAATCGTTGAAATCAGATTAGAAATATCGATTGAGAAAATATCCACAAGTTAGTCCACAGTCAAAAGTTAGGAAATATTTACGCTAGGCCATAAATTTCCGGCGCTGTATTTGGAATGATCTTTTTCCAAATTTCAGCCCATTTTGTCAAAGTCATTATATACATTTTAATGTAAGTATGTAAATAAATAAAATGTAGGAAATATCACATACATATATGCAAAACAAAAATTGCACATAAAATACAGACGTTAATATAAAACACATCAATCATTTTTATTGCATTTTATGCAGTTTTACTCTTGCTGCGTTTTGGTAAGTCGATCCATTTTAATCTTGAGCAAAATATTTTTCATTGCTAACTTTCAGCACATTACGTTTTCTAAACTATCAACTTTCAGGTAATGCATGTGCACTTACTTACAAGGAATCACCCTGTACAGAAATATCTCTATATATCTATATCTACAAAAATAAAATAATTTCTGTCATTTGAGAATAGTTTTGTTCGTAATATGTAATTCCGGATTAGTGTAGGATTTATCATTATTTAAAATCTGATGCTAACAATGTCCAGGCAATTACAATTTCAATAAAACGACAAAAATGTAATTAACAATTTTAGATAGTGCCTAATTTCTAAAGAAAATTACACAGTTGAGATATTTTGCTCAAATTGTGAACGTAGGCTACTCTTTAGGCCCTTTACCCGTAGGTAAGTCAACTGGTTGAGAAAATAGACAGGGTGGTTTTTTACTTACTTCGACCTAACAAAGTGTTGAATTTGTGGTTTATTTTAAGAATGTTTTAAGCTCTTGCAGTCTTTTCGAATATGCCTTCGTTTTCGAGTTATTTGCAGAAACATAAGTTCATGTAGGGTTTCTGAGTGATTTTTTATGAATTTTCTGATAATTTTTTTTGTGTCCTTCTGTTCACATTTTTTTGTGAAAGCTTGAAGTGCAAGTTGGAGTTAAAATAGGGATGGCTGATGAGCTAACTTTAAACTTTTTTTTGTACTTTAAATTAATTTACAATAATTGAGGTTTATAGGCTGTAAGCTACTCCAAATAAAAATTTGCCAAAATGTAACAAATATTTCAATTTATTATGAAATTAATTTCTTCAAATTAAATAAGTTTAAATTATTTAATTTGTTTAATTTGAATGTAATTTTTTATAATAAGACAAAATATAAATCGTATAAACGATTCCATAAATCTTCTGTAGTTTCAACAGGCGTTGAATATACAAATTCTTTTAAAGTCCCCACAGAAAAAAATCACACTTATTCAAATCTGGCGATCGCGGTGGCAATTATTTCCGCTACCGACCCAACGATTCCGGCCCACACATTAATTTTAAATTATTTTTGGTAATATGTGGATTCTTATCGGAATATTCATTGCTGTTGTGTAGATTTGTGATTCCCCTCCGCGTAAAGCAGGCCTCATCAGTAAAAAGGATACTTATGTGAAAACAAACGTTCCGATTTAGGATAAAATTAAACAAAATAACGAAACTGCATAAGAAATCATGGTTGGCTCTAAGAGCCTTTTCACACGGGCCACTCTGCAGCGCTGGGTGCAAAACAACCCTTAGCTACACAAGGAAACTGATGCTTATAATTTACGAGACGTAAAATTTGACTACCAAATCGCCGGCGAAAAGTAACACAGCCTACTATGATAAAATAAGTAACTCGAAAACGAAGGCAGATGCAAAAAAACTGCCCGACATAAAAAAATCTTATATTGGACAGCAAATTCACAAATTTGTTCGGGTCGAAGTCAGTGGCGCACCAGAAAAAACTTCGCGCGGTATGACGCTAGAAAAAAAAACACCCTGTATATTTTCGCAACCAGTTGACTTACCTACCGGTAAATGGCCTAAAGAGTAGCCTACGTCCAAAATTTGAGCAAAATATCTGATAAACTGTAGGAGTTAAAGAGAAAATGCCAATATTTTTTTAAATTTAACACCTGTATCTCGTTAACCATGGGCCTGAGAAAAAAACTTTAATAGAAACTCGACTTATTTTGAGGTCCTATACACGCCCATGTGTTGTTCATAAGGTTGTGAATTACCCTGTATATTTTTATAGGGTCTACATGGTGCCAAGAAATGATCTGGCTAATCCAAAATAACGTGGACTTTCAGACTTGCCGATCTACATTGCAACAGCTGAGAGCACCACTTATAGAGTAAGCATGATTTAAAAACTAAGTTTTATGATTTAACTCAATATTCCTATCAACTAGACCAAATGATAATAAATCCTGACTGTAAAAAGGCTTACTAAGAAGGGTATGGTTCTTTATTTCTTAAATGGCAATTTCAACAAATTAATTTACTGGAGAAATATTTAAATTCCTTAATGAATTTAAATATTCGTAATTTTAGATCTTCTGTTGTCCTGTTCGAACATGTAGGTTCAATAACCACAGAGACTAGCAAAGTGCCACTTCCTCAGTATATAAAAGTTGATTTGCCTCTGAGCCAACTTCCATCATCTATGGATGAATTAAAAGTGAAGTTGGACTTACTGTTTACTGATTCTGTACGCTTTGTGGAACAATTACCTTCACCCAGATGTATTAAAAGTCATCTATCTATCGATTTACTGCCAGAGCAAATTTGGAGTGTGAAGCCAAAGGTTTGTTTCCTTTCAGTGAAGTCTCTCACAAAAAAATCGTATATAAATAGGTTTATTTTGCATGTCAATATATATGTGAATTTTAAAAAATACATTCAGAAGTTGAGGCACATATATATTTTATATTTTTTATGGTGAGTTGGTAGTAGGAAAAAAATTAGAGAGATTATTATTAATATTAATACGTTCTTAATTATATTGTTTTAGATAATTTACGTAATGCGGAACCCAAAAGATCTATGTGTATCATATTATTTCCATTGCCAACTGGTTCATAAGTTCGATGTCGATTTTGAAACATTTTGCGAACTGTTACTGGATGATTGTCTGCCTATTGGATCAATTTTTAAACATTATCTTGGGTACTGGAATAAGCGACATGACCTAAACATGTTGATCTTAAGATATGAGGAGATGCGGCTCGATACTCGAGGAACAGTAGAAAAAATCGCCAATTATTTGGGAAAAACTTTAACTGAAGAACAAGTTGATCAAATTTGTGAATTTGTAAGTTTCAACACTATGAGGAACAATAAAGCATGCAACTTGCAGGTGAGGCTATCAATCGGCATGCGTAAATGACGACACTATCACTGCAATTTCATTTCACTTTACATTATTTCCAGGTTCTAGTCGATAATAAGAAAGGGGATGACTTTTATACTAAATCAGGCAAACATTTTGTCAGAAAAGGTATTATTGGAGACTACAAAAATTATATGTCACCTGAAATGATCGCAAGATTCGACAACTGGATAGAAGAAAACATTCGTGGGACAGACTTGGAATTAAGCCTTGATGCAGTTTAGATGATTAATACCAGAAATATTTATAAGGGGATAATTTAGATACATGTGTTATTATTTCGTTTTTAATAACATGTATTTGTAAATAAAATAAATTATTTTCCTAAAATTCTCTCGAGACAGTAAAGCAATAGTTATTGATAGTTTTTAAAATATGTAATTACTTTCATAGGATAGAATTAAAAGTGATTACAAACTGCAAGTCTTCGAAACATTTTATTCAAAAACATACCAGTTAAAGTGTTTTGGCAAAACGATCTGCAAGTTCATAATTACTAAAGCAATAAAATATGTTTTAACTGCTATTATCATTAATGTCTGCAACTTTTTCTGACATTCCCGCTCACTCTGTACAATAGCGAATAATGTGCATCTGTTCAGGTATAATGCAAATAAAAAGCGTATTCTGTCAAAATACTGTCGTTTTATTTATTTTATTTTTGTCACGAGAAACTAATCCTGTTGGTAACAGAATTATCGACTAAACAGCCATTGTAACTGTTGAAAGTGTGAAAAGATGGGTGACGATGAAAATGCGTGTGTTCGAAATATTGTTAAAGAAATTATTAGGGAAATGAACCCAAAGAAGATAACTGTTAACAAAAATTTTGTAACATACCTGGTGAGTAGTAGATAAACGTATCCCGATAAAGGAATTCCGATAACACGTCATACTTATTTATTTTTTTTGAGGCAAAGGGTTAATTTTATAAGGGAAATAAAGACAACAAGTTCCAATTACATGGGATGGGACAACACTGGGATAACATTTTTTTGAAATTTTAATAATGACAATAATTGCAATAGTTCTTAATATGCGGGAAATTATACCGGGCGTCAATTTTAAAACTTCCCACCCTTAATACCTTTCTTGCAGTTTAAAATATGGAAAATCGGAAACACCGATATTTTCAACCCCTTAGGACGAGTAGAAGACACCCTTAGAATCGTTAATGGGAAGGGGGGTCAAGTGGCAAATCGTTTTAAAAAGCGTTCAATTCTCTTTACATCAGTTACTACTTTTTTGCTTTTTGATCGAGGTTTTTGAATAATCGCGTTTTAAAATTACAGAAGCAATTAAACTTGCCTGCATTGAGATTTCGGTTTTCAGATCAGTGTTTAAACAAAAATTATGTCATTGGATCTCCTTATAGTACAAATGTGTTGAAGATTCGGTTACACCGTTAAAATCGTTGAATAACAGGACGAAAATATAGTTTAAACAATCGATTTCGGATTTATTGATTATTTTTCTTCGAGAAAAATCACTTTTTATTTACGGAAGAGAAATTTCTACAATAAAACCCATGGCATCTACTTACGCCCTATCTCATCAGTTGTTCAAAATGTTGTCTATTTCCCTGTAAACAATAATATAATAATAGTCTATTTTCCAATCCTCCCTAACATTGATAATATATTTCCGAATCGATTGATTGGCAGAAGGGTCAATTGAATGGATTGGATGGATTGGATGGATCCAAGATCACCGGATTGAACACCCTTAGACTTAGACTTCTTTCTTTACAGACATCGTAAGTCCATTGTTTATAAAATAGAGGTGTGCTAAACGGTTATTTTTCTGTAACGGGTTACAACGTTTCAGTTTCACCTTGGTAATAGGTTTCAAAATGCGGTTCCAAAAGGAACATTTCCTTTAAAGTAACTACTTAAAATTACTCCTTAGAAGTAACTACTTAAAGAACAAAAAACTGATAATAAACTAGAGTGATGAAATAAAATATACGCTCTATATGCGAAAACGTTTAAAAATCTAATTTTCATTTAAAAATGAATTAACATGGAAGAATAAAATTGTTTGCAGATGCTTTTTACTGATTCTAGTTCTTCGTGCGTTTATGATAGCACGCGTTTTAGAAAATAATCTCTCACATTTCGTTTCACAATAACATTAAATAATCCACAATAACAACAAACATTAATGCGTGTTTGGCAAACCTGGAAAAAGTATTACTCGAGTTAATTTTGGTACCACGAGAAAGTCTCTTTCAGAAAACTAAATACTTATAGACTAAAAATGCTGAAGTATATCATCGCAGCAACTAAACAAATTTTCGCTGGTTCCTGGAGAACTGAAGAGTAATTCTTATAAACGAAAAGTGATCCACAATCATCAAGGCAACGCACAACTACACACAACACATATTTTCTGTTGACAAATGGTTACTGAAACTGCTGCAACTGGATAGAGCGAGAGCGCTCGACGATGCCGCATCGGTTCTGTGCTGACGCGAACCACTTTTTCAGGTTTATGAGACGGTTCCAAAAACAACCTTTTAATCGGCAAACGACTTCAGCTGGTGCGGAGTGTGCAGAACTGTGTCTGTTTTATGAGACGGTTCCAAAAAGAACGGTTTAAGTCGGCAAACGGCTGCAGCTGGATAGAGCGAGAGCGCTCGACGATGCCGCATCGGTTCTGTGCTGACGCGAACCACTTTTTCAGGTTTATGAGAGGGTTCCAAAAAAAAACGGTTAAATCGGCTAGCTGTAACTACGGTTTCACGTTACACGTTTGGAACACTGCTATTTTAGCGGTTACGTTAAATACCTACCATCCCTATTATAAAATACAACCTGTATTTAAACCTTTAAGCAAATTTTCGGACATGTAGCTTGTAAAATTGCTTACCTCTAACAAATAAGTTTGTTAATGTTGAAACGCTCGTAATTTGAAGCAAAGATCGTAATTCTTCTTTTTGAGTTTTTAAGTATTTCAATATGCTGCAACTTAAACATGGAACACTTTTAATATGTTCTAGAAATTATCGAAAAAATGTTTTTTAAATATTTTTCTCGTACTCTCCAAGTGGACATCTATTACCTACCCCTTAAAAGGAATGACGCCAATTTTGAATCTCTTTTGAATTGCTCTCAAGGGACTCCCGAGTATTGCAAGAAGTATGTATGTTTGAAGATTCAAACAGAGTTAGCTATTCAAAGCATTGACTCTTTAATGGAGCTTTCTTTGCATTTCAGCAGAATGGTGGTTTCTCTGCTTTTTGCAGTGGCTATGTCCTAGGCTCAAAAGGGAAAAGGTGGATAAAAGTTTAGATTTTTTAGAATGCTATTTATAACAGCATATTAATCAGTGGATTTTTTAAATTAAAGCCACCAAATTTGTTTTAGCCTCAATTTCCGCTTGAGAGAGGAGCAGTAGTTGGACTCGCTGCAGGTTTAATGGTTGGGGAATTTGGGGAGGGTTCGTGACTGGTTCTTGCAAGGGTTTTGGGGGATTGCTGGAGCTTTTTGGGTTTTGGAGGATTTTTGGTTTCCACTTTATTGTTAAATGAGTTAAGCTTTCGCTTTTCCTCATTTTCCATATTTAAGTTCGGATTTGTCGGGCTTCTGGTAGGGTCGAGTCTCTCCGTAGTCACAGCACTTTTTTGGAATCTCTATGGGTTTGCAGCCGGTTTTGAAAAAGTGGACTCCTCCTCATCTGCGGCATGAAGGATTGGCTCCACAGTTGGAAATATGTAGTATGTCCATATTTTGGCCAATTTTTACACTGGCGAATTTGTTTAATGTTATAGGGATGAGGGTTCGCTGTAGCTCAATAAGGACATAGAGGTTTTGGGGGTGGGTTATTTGACGGAAATTGGCTTGGCATTTGGGCAGTAGTACTTTTATCATGTTGAATACTTTTTTCGTGTGCCCAAGCCGGAAAAAGTGTGTTTGTTCTGGGGAACATCCCAGAACGGATATTCCTTATATCGATATAATGCAAAATGGAAATGCATGCCGCGAATGTTTTGGGGTTTCAGATTTTAGGCTAAGGCATCCTGGGTTTTACGCCAGTGTGCTGAGTTTATGATGGTGATGGAGACTTTTTCGGGTTTGGGTATTTGCGGATTGGTTGCTGGACTCTTTTCGGGCCCCCAGTCGTGGGAAGTTGCAGTCCTCGTGGACTTTCATTGGTTCGGCACGATTGGGGGTTGTTTCCTTTTGGGATTCCACCAGGGTTATGCTTGAGGTGTTTTGGGGTTTGGCGAAGGACTCAATTAAACCAAGGTGGAGAAAATTATAGAACAATCGGTTTTCCTCCTCAAGGGATTCGAGGGGTTCTAGGGAGTTTGGTTTTCATCCGCTGGTGTTGTGCCTACGTTTTTCTTCATTGCACTGAGCACGTGGTTTTCACTCACTTATTTTGTTTCGCTGGCACTTTCAACCTGAAGAAAGCCGAGCTTTTCTAGGTCGTTCTGATCATTCTTTTCATGGGAGCTTGTTTCTCGATAGAGAAATAGAAGGTGAATTTCTTTTTTTTTTTCAGAAAGCACGAGTTAGCAAACACGTGATTTCTTACACTAGTTCACTCGCTGGACACTCCTTCAGTGACGGAATGATGCTTGGCAAATAGACTAGACTCAAGTACTGGGGTTTCACTTGGGACACTTTACGGTTGTTTATCTAGGATGGTAGACAGCCGATGATGATAGCAAGAAGTGCAGTTTTTAGAACAGAAGAAACTGGAAAATTAAATCCAAATAAGATTTTAGACACTGTATCTCGGAAATAATTCCATTTTGAAACAAAAAAGTTGGTCTAAATTTACATACTTTAGCTTCTCCAAACTAACTATAGAATGCAACTTTCTCATTTTCAATTGATATGATCTGACGGAAAGACGGTTTTCAGATAATGAAAACACATTATATTCTATACTTTTCATTTACTGCCTCTGATTCTGTAATTTTTTAACCCATATTGCGCTTAAATGATTCAAGCATGACTAAACAACACGTGCTTCCTTATGGTTTTAGACGAAGTTGTTGCTTATCAACCCAAACTGGGGCATTGGCGATGACTTTTTCAGCCAAAGACAAAACGTTCAACATTTCGTTAAGTACGTAATCGACGATCTACTGAAAGTGCAAGATGACCCGAAAATTGTCACACTGAAAATTCAGTTTTACTTTTCTTGCAATCTCGAGCGAATGGATTATGCGATTGAAGTTAACCGACGGGATCTTCGCAATAAACTGCTTGTGCTGAAAGAGGACATATTCACGTTCAGTAAAGTTGAAGACCGCAATGATGTCGATGCGCTATACAAGAAGATTGTTTATTATATCACATTAGCCTCTGGATTGGGAAATCCTGCTAAACCAAAGGTAAATTATAATCTATTTTTCGGCAAACAAGCAAATTCTTCAAGTAATTATGCTGCCAATTATGCTATTGCAACAAATAAAGAACACTTTTTCTTAGAAAAAATAGTGTGACTTAGTTAATGCTTAAGTGAGGATAACTCTTGACGTACTTATTTAGATGGTATGATTTGTATACCATGTTGAATTTACATTAAAGGTTTTTGAAGAAACCTTGGTAGCATTAAAAAGCATACTTTACGAATCAGAGCTGAATGAGTTTGTTACACTATCGAAACAAGAAAAACAAATTCAGTTGTGCCAAATGACTAAAGTCGTCGCTGGAATTCGACTATTTGATAAAGATTGCGACAAAGGAGGAGAAGGAATTGCTAATTGTAAGTAAATGAGCTCAAATATTTAAAATAGATATTATATTAATTTTACTAACTTAGTCTTAAGTTCAAGTCAATGAATTAAACTAGTCCCAAAGCAAGTCCAGATTTCGAGATGTGCCACTCAGGCACACCCAAAAACGGGGGCCTGAGACTAGCACACTTCGACTACCTTCTTTTGAGAAATGTAAATAATTTTTACTTATTTTTCAATTATACTCCCTCATAGAGAACCTAGAAACAATATCCTATATTTATTCACCTCCATAAAATGTCCCCACTCTTTCTATGTTCGATAATTTACTATATATTACCAAAACTTATGGTCATACCATACCATATACTTATACCATCGTCACACTCTTGCCCATTCGCCCTTACATACAAGGTACGCTTTTACAGTGCCAGAATTGTTGGATAAAGCAATCCACGTTATAAGAGGAGGAACTGAAGAAACCCTCTTGATGATAATGGAAAGGGTTAACACATTGACGACGGCGGTAGAAAAGTGCTATCACTTGAAACAAACATATCATGGATACCAGATGATATGCATAATACCTGACGAATTATCCGTGAAAATTGCCGATGATATTGAATATATCAAACATTTGTTGATTTTTTTCAGGCAATATGAATTGCTCATTAGGTAAGGGCACGCATTAACACACAAAAATTAATATTTTTGCAATACCTAATTAGTATATTTGATATACAGCTTAAGATACCTTATTCAAGAAAACCTATTAAATTATAAGCACTTTTTATAGGTGAAATCCAAATGTATTGCAAACAAATAGTTTCCGATACCATTAAGATACATGTTTACACATTTTTAGGAAAATCCTAGATGAGCTTGAACAAATTAATGAGAAAACTGAACTGATATTTACAAATATGGAAAAAATGTTAAAGTTAATCCATGAAACCGTTTACATGAAAATCGCTATACCAGTAGGAGTAGTATTCGTAAGTAGACCTCGTGAATTATTTATTTCTTCGGAAAAAATAGACTGTGGCCATCTTCTCTTTTTCTTCTTTGTCAACCATTATCAGCCAATATCAATCATATTATATTCAGGAGTGGACAGCCACTCCTGAAAAAAGGCCTCTTTCATTTGGTTCCATGCTGTTCTGTCTTTTGCTGTATGGTACCATCTTCCTCCTACTATTGTTTTAACATCATCCAACCATCGCCTCTGTGGCCTGCCGACACTCCTCCTTGTTTGCCGTGGTCTCCAGTATACAAGCCTTGATACACATCTGTCCACACTTAGTCTGGCAACATGTCCAACACAAGCTCAGCCATTCGCTGATTTACGATTTATTTTATTTTATCACCTTCGTTGGCCTTCTTATTTCTTTGTTACTGATTTTGTCTCGTAAGCAATCGCCAGGCATTGCACGCTCCATGGCCTTTGGCATTGCTCTAAGGTTATTGGTGTACTTCCTGGTCAGCCTTTGTCTCAAGACCATATGTTGCGACAGGCGGGATGCATGTGTTAAAGACCCTTCGCTTAAGGTTGATATGGATGTCAGGGCTTTTAACTATATGACTCAGTTTTCCAAATACCATCCATGTCAGTCTCAGTCTTCGCTTAATCTCTACCGTTTGGTTTTCCTTTCCCATTTTAATGCCATGACCAAGATATATATTCGTCTACATCCAGAGTTTTGCTTGTTATTCTTATGTTTTCCTCAGTCCTGCCCATTATTTTAGTCTTTGACAAATTCATTCTTAGTTCGACATTATTTGCAGCTTCATTTAGTTGGATTGGATAGCTCCTGGATATCTGAACTAATAACCACTATGCTATCATCGGCGAAGCGTAAATAAATCAAAATAGGTACCATCAACTATTACACCTTTATTCGTCCACGATAGCTTTTTAAAACCGTCTTCCCAGGCCAACGTAGAAATTTTTGGGGATATAGGATCACCCTGGCGAAGTCCCCTGTTAATTTACTTTTTTCGGTTATTTCGGTCTTCCGTAATTTTTACACGGACAGTAGCGCTTCTGCATATATTCCTAAGAAGGGTAGAAGATCTTGAATCAACTCTCGCTCTATCCATCGCACGCAGGACCGCCCTTGTTTCAACGGAGTCAAATACCTTATGAAAGTCTATAAAGGTGAAATGAATTGGAATATTATGGGACAGAAGGCTGATAGACGGATAATTTTCAATGTCCGTGATATCGCCCTTTCTAAAAAGCAGAACAACCTCTGCATTGCGCCATATTTCAGAGATGTTGCCTTCAGATAAACATTTATTAAATAACACCTGTAGAATTTGTTCCATGAAGTCTCCGCCCATTTTTAACATTTCGCAGGCTACACTGTCTTCACCAGGCGATTTACCGTCCTTCTTTTGTACTAGTGCAATCCTTATTTCCTCTTTGGTTATATCAGGAATTTCTTCTGAACCTACACTGCAAATGGTAACTTTCTGAACATTAGGATCCAGCACAACAGAGGTGTAAAAACGAGAATAAATTATTTCTATATGTCTAGAGATTTCTCTAGTCTCTTCCAGTCAACATGCTATCATCCTCATCCTTCATTTTCAAAATTCTGCTTTTTCCGGGCGAAATTCTCGATCTTGAAACTTTCATCCTCAATTACAGTTTCAATTGTTCTGGTATTATAGGATCTTACATCCCTCCTTTTTATGTCCATACAGACCCGAAATTAGAGAAATATTGGAAATCGACTCAGCTACTTTCTCAATTACTTTTGAACATTTCAAAGTTAAAATGACTAGTAGTATATTAACAAAAAATTATATATAATTCTAATCAAAAACTGAGATATTTGCAAAAAAACTAGATCAGAAGGACAACAACGATGCTTTTCAAGACAATCTGCCTCATCAACATCTGTATAATTGATCTATGATCAAACTGAGGACGAAGAAAACTTGCTTCCCATCTTATGGCAAAAATTAGTCAATTTTTGTTTTGAAGAAAATGTAGAATATTGCACTTTAAAAGTATAAGAAACATTATCGAAGTCGTAATGTGTGAAATCTTTCAGTAAATCAGGCATTGGAAAACATAGAAGAAAATCCAATTCAAGATCAGCTGTTGGGGAAATTTATCTTAAAGGGAGTAGTGAACAACTTTCGTTTTGTTCTGATTTAATGCCCTTAATAAGCTTCATATTTATCAAAACTATCTTTATTTTTTTGTCTATTAATAGGTAAAAGATATGTGGTCGAATATACGTGGCCCACCCTGCACAGGTTTCCTAATCTGCAAAAATACTTGAGAAGGAATACTCTCGTTTTAGCCTCTCTTCGAACAGTTGTGGGAAATTTGGGAAGAATTTCAAAATCAAGGGCTGCTTTTATCCAGACTTAGCATGATCATGAGCAACATGGAAACTTATGCTAAGCACACGCGATATGACCACCTCGTTATTGAACATCTGCTTGGTACAAGTTCATCTCTGACCGACGCGGAACGACTGGAAAAAACTGCTCAATATAAACTGGTATCAGATAATCCAGAAATCCGAGTTGTTAGAAGCGAGGCAATTAAGAACTTCTACAATCTAAAGCTGGAAGTGAATATTTTCACCTACTAATGAATGTATCGTAAATAATTGTATTACATTGCAGTATCTTGGATTTTGCTGTTGGAAATTAATTGAAACTGATGGGGCACTGATACCTGGAAATCCTTCGATGGGCATTGTCATATACAAACTGAAAAATTACGTATTCTCTTGTATTGAGGCTTTTGAAGAATTCTGTAAAGATCCTGAAATGTTGGTATATTCTGCAAAGATATTTTAGATTTTATAGATAACAGTTATAATAATGGGTCCTTTGCGCGCTTTGTTTGTACTCGTTCTCCTGTCTCTCAATAGGAGCGTACATTCTGTAAAAATTCCTTGTACAAAAATACCGGAAATTTGAATTTGTGGTAAGACAGAAAATTTTAATTAACTTGAGCTAGATTTTATGCTGTATGGTAAATTATCTGTTGGTTTATATGTTACTTGGTTGTTCAAAGTAGCTCTACTGTATGCTTAGTTTATCGCTTGCTTGTCACAAAAATGGTTTACAAATATTGCAAGATACATACTACTGATTGATTTAATTTGCAAATATGCGCTTAAACGAAAAAATACATTATATTTAGCTGCAAGCAAGAAAATCTGACTTTCGCCTCCTTACCGAATAATACTATGTATTCGTGAACAAAAAATTACACATACAGCATTACCTAAATCATCAATTATACCAATATTAATTACGTATTTTAAGGTGTGGGTTTATAGATTTGCAAAGGCGTAATTTTTCCCAAATAGCGAACTGCAAAACATGACAGAAAATTAATTAAAATAACATTTGCCTCATTATTTACCTTAAGGCGTTTTATTCATCGTCGCCTTATCTCAATTTCGAGTTACTTCATCGCGTTCGTCTTGTTGCCCTAAAATTGTAGTTGATTAAATATTAGAAGGTTATTTTGCCAAGCTGAGAGCATGACTTCGTATTCAATCAGGCGAATTTGAGCGCATAGACATGACCCTCGAAAACTGTTGAAGAATAAAACCGTTTCGAAAAGTTCTTTGAAAATTATATGTTTTCCATAGAATTAATATAACTTCATATAAATTGATCTTATGAATATTCCGAGATTTTGCATGTTTTCCGATGTAATGTGCATAAAAATCTCCTAATCAATAAACTTATTAAGACACGAAAAATTTTAAAAAATCTAATGACTTTTCAGACATTGTTAACCTTTCCCAAAATATAAACTTCTAAGTTTGACGGTCCGTTAAATGTATATCTGAGGTGTTTCGGAAGGGAAAGACATATTTTTGGAATGTATTCAGCCGGTCAAAATAAGATAAATAAACTCATTATTATCTGATTCTTTAAGGTTTCTGAAATAATCGACTCTAAGGTTTTTTGTAACTATTTTTCATTAAAAAAAATTACAAACAAATAATTGTGGAATAACAAACAAAATTACACTAATTTATTATAGAATATTTCCAAAAATGCCCCTACCAACTTCAATACGTTAATAAGTAGTAACTACAATAATAAGTAGTAACTATACTTCATAAGCGTTTATGCACCAGACATAAGTAAGGACAGACAGGAGAGAGAATAAGCTATGAAGAACTGCAAACAGTAGTGGACACAATAAGAGCACGAGATAAAATCGTTATTATGCGTGAACTAAATGCAAGAATAGGAAATGAACCACTGGATGGCATAATGCAGAGAGTTAAGAAAAAACCACAAACAACAACGTGAGAATTAACACTTTCTTCGAACATCACATGAAATACAAATTCACATGGAAAAATACAAGAGGACAACAGTCGGCATTAGACTATATTATCACAAACAGAGAAGCCGTACTCCAAACAATATTGTACGTAAGAACTCTAAATGGCGCCAACTCTGGAAGCGATCATAAGTGAGTACTTTGCAAAATGGAACTGAATATACCCAAATCCACAAAACCTAAACGCAAATAATTAGTAAATTGAATGTCGAATCATTAGAAGATGACAGCACAAAACATTTGTATGCAGATCGATTAAACCAGAAAATATTGCAAAGACGAGTGAATACCGAATAGAGCATAGACCACCAATAAAAAGCAGTAAAAAATAACATACTAGATGGGGCCATGGAAGCAATAGGAAAGCGACAGGTAAACATCAATACAATCAATAGTACTCCATAGTTCACACCGGAAGTGAAAGAACTCGCTAAACAAAAGAAGAATGCATACATCAAATATACGCGAGAACAAACACCTGAAACATTTGGAAATGTTTTCCGGGCTTTGAAGCCGTGGTCTATGGGAATTTCTTCCTGACGTTTCGTCCACAACTGCGGTGGACATTTTCAAAGGCGATGAGGCAGTGGGC